TTTCCATCAAATTAACGCGGATAAATGAACGATTCGTATTAATTTTCTGTTTTCTTATAGAGAAATGAAAGAGTAAATCAGTACCGAAAATCGAATATCGATTAATACCGTAAATCAGTGTCAGAGAATTGTCCAAGTGCAATGACAATTTGTTCTTATTTTTCAGGTACTTACCCCTTTAATTTACTTAACAAATTAACTGTGTTAAACGAACGATCCGTATCAATTTTTCTTTTCTTATAAAGAAATGAGAGAATAAATCAGTACCGAAAACCGAAGACCGATCAATACGTAATTTTTCCATCAAATTAACGCGGATAAATGAACGATTCGTATTAATTTTCTGTTTTCTTATAGAGCAATGAAAGATTAAATCAGTACCGAAAATCGAATATCGATTAATACCGTAAATCAGTGTCAGAGAATTGTCCAAGTGCAATGACAATTTGTTCTTATTTTTCAGGTACTTACCCCTTTAATTTACTTAACAAATTAACTGTGTTAAACGAACGATCCGTATCAATTTTTCTTTTCTTATAAAGAAATGACAAAATAAATCAGTACCGAAAACCGAAGACCGATCAATACGTATTTTTCCATCAAATTAACGCGGATAAATGAACGATTCGTATTAATTTTCTGTTTTCTTATAGAGAAATGAAAGAATAAATCAGTACCGAAAATCGAATATCGATTAATACCGTAAATCAGTGTCAGAGAATTGTCCAAGTGCAATGACAATTTGTTCTTATTTTTCAGGTACTTACCCCTTTAATTTACTTAACAAATTAACTCTGTTAAACGAACGATCCGTATCAATTTTTCTTCTCTTATAAAGAAATGAGAGAATAAATCAGTACCGAAAACCGAAGACCGATCAATATGTAATTTTTCCATCAAACTAACGCGGATAAATGAACGATTCGTATTAATTTTCTGTTTTCTTATAGAGAAATGAAAGAGTAAATCAGTACCGAAAATCGAATATCGATTAATACCGTAAATCAGTGTCAGAAGATTGTCCAAGTGCAATGACAATTCGTTCTCATTCCCAAGTCTTTCCCGAGTCGAAATATTAATTCTACATTGATCCTGCAAATTGCATCCAATTTGAAAAATCAATGCAGAATATCTAGATGCGCAATAGTGAACAAGCTTTGTCTTACCTGAACGTTACATCTGGCTACTCTCGCAGTCTCGCCCATGATGAATCTTCAACAGCGACGTATCCGCAGTTATTTAATACTGGTTTATCTCGATAATGTATATGTATTTAATCCTTATATATTTAATTTAAATGAGCAATTTTTGTTGATGTTGGTTATATATTCGCTTAACTGCGCAAGAAAGAGAACAAAGATAAAAACGTAAATAGAACCACCTTTGTTAGAACTGCGTGTGAAATAAATATATAAGGATTAAATAATCATATTAGAATTAGAGGAAATGGGGAGATGAGAAACACTTTTAATTCTCATCATTCTTAAAGTTATTTTTTTCTTTTTTCTTCTCTTTTTTTTCTTTTCTTTTTTCTAATGAGAATGATGAGAATTGTAGCTCTTAAAAGAGCTGAAGCTGCAAAAAGACAACGGTTATGTCTAATAATGCTGTTTCACTAATAGAGATTTTAATTCAGATTCGGTACAATAAGAAAGATAAACAAGAATGAGAAACGGACATTCTAGCAGATTCTAAACGAAAACAGCAATCTGAGCATTATTAGACGAATAAAAATCAACACTTGTAAAATTTATATCAGATTTTAAGATCATTATTCATAGTTTTCTAAATTATGTGCAACTTTTTATTGAGAACATAATTAAAAATTTGTATTCATAATCCTTAGCTTGCCTCGACAACCTTGCTTGAATAGATATTCATATTTTATGAGAAAAGAAAAGTAGAACTTATGTTACGTGAAATTAGGTTAACAAATAATCAAATCTCAAGCTATTTTATCATTTTTCAGATGATAAACTATGAATGCTGATCTAATTTCGACTCGGGTATGTCCTTACTTCGAGTAAGGTCCGTTAAAGTCAGAAAAATAATAATGCGTAATAATAATAACTCGAGGTACCTCAAATACCAAATATGATGTATCGCTGTCCTCGGCTACGTCTCTCGGTGCGCTCCAAGTCCTCTCTCCATCCTGACTTCTCGATCCGACGTCCTCCTTCTGGTCCTCCGTCGCAGCACCCTCGGATACTCCATCGTAGCACTGGCGACGACACTGACTCTAGCTCTAACACTCGCGCAAGTAAGATTCGGGGACAAAGAAACGCGTATTAACCGATACTCGTATTACTCTGCGTCGCGGTATGCGCGTCGTTCGTCGGCCCGAGGCGCAATGTCCTTTCCGCAATCACGGAGTCATGTATATACGTACGAAAACAAACAATCGGGAAGGCACGGTTACCCCCCACCTTGCCGATCAGTGTTGATGCCTGCGTCGTCCGTTAGCTGAAAATGAAAACAACTCGTGTTTTCAAAGCATGCCTGTGAGAGATTCGCTTCAAACTTCACAATACTTGTTTACGTCTGTTCCAAGAATTATATTACACCGAATTCAAACTGTCTCTATTGACATGACATACATACGAGATTTGCGATCGCATCATTGATCTTTCTTTGGACAAGAAATTCCTGAGAGAAACGCTGTTCGAGAATATCGCATTTTATGTTTCAGGTGCCTTGCAGATTACCGAATCCGATGTAACAGATCAGTGGTGCGATTCTTTAACTCGTTATTGGAGTTAACGACACTTTCGTTATCGTTGCGCAGCTTTTGTATACCGTAGAAAAACTGCACAACGATAACGAAACTGTCGTTAACTCCAATAACGAGTTAAAGAATCGCACCACAGGGAAAGTATGAATACGTCGCTATGAATAACACCGTGGGAAAAATCCCATATCAAAATATTTCCATATTTTCAATTCGTCTCGATCAAAGATATTCTCTCTCTTTACCGCAGATTATCAACTGGGAAAACTACTTTTCTGTTTCAGTTGTTGCGGAAAGCAACAGCAATCTGGCAGATGCGGATGCCGTACCGGAGGATCCGGTTCGGGCCAAGCAGAGTCGATCGGAAGATAAGGTTTACAAGTTTCCTACACATCTGTGTTCAACCCTTTACGATCTTTGCCTTTGCAACTTGTTCCTCATCAGCTCTCTTGAAAGTTTCAAGTCTCATTTAAATTTTCAATGTTGGAACAAAAATATAAAGATAAAAATTCCGTATCAAAACATTTCCGTATTTTCGATTCGTCCCGATCAAAGATATTCTCTCTCTACCGCAGGTTATCAACCGGGAAAATTCTTTTTCTGTTTCAGTTGTTGCGGAAAGCAACAGCAATCCGGCGGACGCGAATGCCGCATCGGAGGATCCGATTCGGGCCAAGCAGAGTCGGCTTGAAAGTAAGTTTACAAGTTTACTATAGTCCTCTGTTTGACCCTTGGCGATCTAGAGCTGGGATATAATTTCCGGCTCGACTTGAATTACGATCGCAGAGGGTAAACTACTCTTTTACACGCCCGCACTCGTTGGTCAAATCTGATGAGCGATGTGAATTTTTTGTTACAGAGTTGAAGCGGAACGTGGCCGGCTCTGACTGCAAGTCGTTTCGGTGAGTAAATACAAAATATAAAGAGAAACAAAATTCCGCATGACGGATGTGAGACTAGATAAAATATCGTTCGAGTCAATGCGAATTGCAAATAGATTTTGCATGTTTGTGACGTTGAATAAAATACATTGCTCGAAACAATCAGGGGATTGCTTGATCGATAGCCTGTATTACATACGAGATTTAAAATATCGAATAATTCTCTTTTGATGTTCAGTCATTTGAATAAGAGATATTCATATCTACAAACGCGATACCGTCATCAACTGCTTTATTTTCATTTTTCAAGCAGGCCGCAGAATTATTTAACGATAATTATTTGATAATATAATTTGATAATATAACGATATAATTTGATAATATTCAATTGTCCGTGTAAAATATATATTATATACGCAAATATATTTATACACATAAATGCCGATACCGTTGGCTACTTTTCTTTTATATCCAAAACAGGTTGTAGAATTATTTGGCATTATATTGTCCATTGGCAATATATTGTCCATTCATCACGATCCCTATATTGTCTCGAGTAACGTATAATGCGCATAGAAATTGCGCCAGCGCACGCCGAGCTTGAGGTATCCTCACTCGCGTGCCTTTGAATACCGCGATCGCGGTTATCAATATACGCGTTTTTACCTGCGCTGCTAACAAAGAAATCTTAAATTCTCATTTCGCCAAAGTATCGCGAACGTAAGCTTCGTCGTAACGGAACTATCATGCGTGAAAACTTTGCCCTGCTCTCTCTCTCTCTTTGCGCTCCCTCGGAGTGACCGGTTTCTAATTGTCTAATCTTTCCTCGCATGCATTCGCGAATATTCTTGTGGATATCGATACTCCCGCATTTTCGCGACTTTTCAGACGCGATCGCGAAAAGCGCCGTAAAAATCCATTGGACGAGTCGATAAATTTTCACACGGTTCTTGCTTCTCGCCGATCGAGTTTATAGAGTCCGTTCCGCAGCGCGTAAAAAGTTTCCACCGATGTCGACGTAAAGCATTCGTTAATTGACGCAAATATCGCCGTTCTGATATAAGTATCGACCGCGTCGCGAAAGTGTAGCAATCAACGTGGGAGCAATCAGCGCTGCAAGATGGATGCTGCACGACATGAAGAGCGGCAGCGGACATGGGCGGACATTGATGGATCTGGTTGGATGCAACGGGACATCATCAATATCATCATCGGTGAGCGTTTGACTCAATGCTCGCAGAGAGCTCTTTTATTATTACATTGTGCATGCCGCAAATTTGCATTGACTTTTGTCGAACGAAAAATATATTCCATGAATTATTGTCATATGTTATGGCCATTTATTATTGCTATATATTGTTGTCATATATTGTTGCCATATATTGTTGCCGTATATTGTTGCCATATATTATTGCCACATATTGTCATATATTATCGCCATATAATAGGCATCAAAATTAGGCAGATAAACAAAATGATTAATGAGAATAAGCTCAATATCATTATGTTGTTGAGATGAAATTGTCTGCAATGTATAATTATATAGTAAACATGCTGTACAATTTTATAAATAGTTACTCTAAAAACAGTGACGTAATGTACATGAGTTTCTTACAAAAGATATAACAAATAAATAAATAAATAAATAAATAATAAATAAAATAGTAAACAAATAAATAATAAATTTTCTCGAATTTTGCAAAGTGAGACTTCGTTACCTTTGCCTTTTTTCCACTATGTTTGCACGATTTTTGACTTCCAAAATATTCAAATCTTCTTTAAATAGATATGTGAATATGCCCTTAAAATGTCCATCCAAATAGTTCGGCCAATTGAATCCTTGCATATCAAAATTAAACAGATGCTTATCCCTTTTGTCCAAATTATACCACATTGCATGAACATTGTCATTGGTATAAGTCCACTCGTTGACTGCCCAATACCCAATGATACTCATAGCATAATGAAATTTATTGTATATTTTTCGTATGCTGAAACAGATAATATAATGTACTGAGACTACCTTGATATCATAAATCATCTTCAGATACCTTTGGATGTCGACGCCGTTCGTCCTGTTGACCATTAATGTAACAGATAAAGCAAGCCAACAGCAGAAGTTGAATAAAATGTTATTTTTAATTAATGTAATAGTTAGACTCGAACGTTTCACCACATATTTTTCAAAGATGTTTTGCGCTGAATAAAAATATTTGCCCCAAGTCAAGGGTGCATCATTGGACGATATGTAATTGTAAATCAACGTTTCCTCACTTCTCCTGCGACAACAATTGACACAAAATATAAGAATTATTTGCAGCGAAAATATATTAACGTAATTCGGAGGATTATCACGACATACAAGTGTTATATATAATAATTCCAGGTTAACGTTCGGCCAATTAAAATGGATCTTTTTTTTCGTACATAACATAATAATTGATTATTACATAACAAATATAATGGTTGATCGTTCAATTATCACGCGACAATAAAATAATATGTTTAAAAACACTTAAGTTTCGCATTAAAACGAAACGAGTTATGGATATGTGAATTTGTATGACATACGGATATGTGAATTTTGGTATTAAAATAAAATATCACGTAAAATAATGTGTTTCCAAGACACATATATACAGTCAAGTGCAATAATAATAGGTAAAAAATTTAACTCATGAATAATAATAATTCATGAATAATAATACGCTTTATTTGCCCTTTCCTTATTTGTCGAGGATAATTTACACGGGCTTAGTCATTGTACTTCATCATTGCATACACTTCTATGACTATTGCACGTGTACTCAAATTTGCCCCTAATCATAATTTACCGCTTTCTATAAATTATACTATATGTGCAGATTTCTCATTGTTAGCTGCACTTGAATCGTACCTCTCTGATTTATTAAAGACGTCCCACGCAGAAACAATTAGAGCATTTATGGCTTTATCAACAGGCACTATGTTAGCTGTGCATTTAGAATCAGCCCATAAATATTTCGCTATTCCTTTAAAATAATATGCTATTAATCCTACGGGGCCGAAATAATTATCGATCCAACCTACAAGCGGCTCTTCGGCGGGCGATAGGACTGAAAAAAGTTAGATGAATTTAAAATGATTAGTGATGAACCGCACATAATATTGTTAGTAACTTTTGTTCTTAAATATCTTTTTTGTATATTATATAAACTATTGATAAAAATATGTTTCGTAAAATGTTTTACTCCACAATGTTTGATCATAAAAGGCCAGAACATTTTATTATAACGCAGTAAGAACGTGTTGATACGGATAACTTATCTCATAACGTTAATCTTTGAATGTAATCACTTTTATATACATTGATCTTCGACACATTTGATTAGTCTAATTATTCGCACTAACATATTCTTATTGCGTTATAAAAAAATGTATTGGCTTTTTATGATCGAGCGTCATAGAGTAAAACATGTGAAACGTGTGTAATCTCTTTTTTATACGTTGATCTTCGAAACGATTTACATTTTAACGTGGTTACGTACGGCGGCATGATGATCGTTTGAAGATCGATCAAACGTATCGAAGTTCAACGTATAAAAAAGAGGTTATATTTAGAGATTAATATACGAGGGCAGTCTGAAAAGTTCTCGGCCTAACGATGAAAGAAAATTTTTTGCCGTGAAATATGTTTTATTTTTCAATATAATCTCCTGAAACTTCAATACATTTATTCCAACATCTTTCCAATAATTCAATACCATCATTAAAGTGTGATTCCGAAAGATTTTTTTCTGGTGTATAGTGGTGGATTCAAGTTTCATCAACAGTTATGAAACGACGCTTGAAATCCATTTTATTTTGCTTAAAACGATTAAAATGTGCCAAACACGCTTGAAAAATACGCATTCGAATGCGTTTTTGGTCAATTGTTAGCAAATGTGGCACCCATCTTACACAAAGCTTTTTTAACTAGTGCTACTACTCGAATGACTTGACAGATCGAATAAAATTTTACATGGGTTTATATCAGGGATGCCACTTTCCAATACAATTATAGTTTGATAGTTTCTAATGCCATGTATGTTATGTGTCAGGTCGAGAACTTTTCAGACTGCCTACGTATATTCAGAGATAAATTATCCGCACCGTTGTTCTTATTGCGTTATAATAAAATGTATTGGCTTTTTATGATCAAACATCATAGAATAATATCAATATTTTATATAATACCATATATAAAAAAGATATTTAAAAGCAAAAGTTAGTAAAAACGATATCATGTGCTGGAAAAAAACATGAGAAAACTTGTTAAAAAATATTCAGAACATCATATAATCTTCTTTAAAAAGTCTAATAATATGCCTCCATCAGTAAGTTTTCATCAAAATTACCTATTTTCTATTTTTATCTATCATATGCGGTATGATGTTTACTTTGTTCTCTAATCACATATAATATTTTTTAATTTCGGTTAAAAGTGACCAGGACGTATGATTAAAACATTCCGATAATCAAATGTACTTGCATATATAGCATAATCAAAATAAAGGTGCAAATTAGACCTTAGCTGTTTTATCTTATGTTTTATAATTATTTTACAATCAAAGTTGACTGACAATATTATGTATTATGCTTTGAGAAAAAATATATGAGGAATTTGGTGTGTGTGAAATATTTTTCGAAAAATATTTTTGAGAATATTTCTCACCAAGTTTTGCGGAATAAACTCGATGTAATGGAGTAAGATTTAACACAAAAAGTGCAGTTTTAATGGAACATATTTCTCACCTATTGCTGGTCTAAAGACTCCAATTGGCAATTCTTTGCTTGTATCTCTTATCAATGATTCGGCCATGGCCTTAGTAAATACATATGTATTGATATATTCAGGGAAAAGTCTAGAAAAAAACACTGATTTCGTTATTAAGGGCTTTTACAATTACTCGCTATTTTGTCATTTCTATTCCGCTTGAGATGAGAATACATGTTGACTCTTTTAAGCGAAATTAAACAGAACAGATTTATTTATGAAAGAAATTTACTTACTCGACAATTTTTTTACTGACTTCTTCAGATTTTAAGTCCCTCGTTAATGTACGGAGAGTTTGGTAATCAATAGGATATGTATAGAAATATTCTCCAATGTGTTTCGAATGACAATTTGCATATATCGTCGACACATAAATAAACGCCTGCAATGTAGATTCATATCTGTACGATCAATCGACTAAATTATATAAATAAATGGAATAAAATTTGTTTTTAAGACATCAACAATATCTCGTTTCAGTGTCGATTATATTTTATTAAATTTGTCTTTGTAATTATATTATCTCTGTAATTATTACATCTCACTTTTAAAATATCTTTTAAAAGTGCGATTCAAATGCGATACCTTCAACTTTTTCATATTCTTAGCCATATGTAAGAGATAATCGGTAGAACTGATGTTTATCGTTGTAGCAGTCTTGATATCTTCAGTAAAACGTATGCTCGCGCCTACGTGAAAGACGATAGACACCTGCAGTGAAATGTTAATTTGATATCATCCCGAAAAGACCATGGTACCGTTCGTAATTTACCAAAGTTAGACGAGAAAGATGAAAGGAATATGTATAAATTCTTACATTTTGTTTAAGAAGATTTTCATCATAGTCAGAAAGTCCTAATTTATCAACGGAAAGGTCGCCCACTATCGGTACGATTTTGCTTCGGAAATTCGGCACTTCCACCTTGAGTTGATCAAAAACCTACGAATAAGTGACATAATAATAATTATTATTAATACTAAGATTATTAATAATAAATACCTAATTATATAATATCGTTGAAGCTAATAATTAGATTTCAACATTTATGTTAAGTTCACACGGTTAGCTATAGCATAATTGTAGTATGATAACTTATAATATAATAATAATGATATTAATAAAGATGATTTATAAACGAGATATTAACAATGTCGTTAAATTATCGTTAAACGACTATTTACCACATTTCCAAATATATTGTTGAGCCTATCTTCAATGTTATTTCCTTTTTTCGGACGTATTAGAATATAGATAGTGGTAATATCGGTGCAACTTCGCAATAATTTTTGTATTAGTATTTTTCCAAGGAAACCGGATCCTCCTTTAAAATGATAAAATTATTTATAATGTAATAATGATATGATTATAGTAAAATTAGATATTATTTTTTATTAATTCTTTCTCAAAAAGATTAGATTTTTTTTTGTATATACAAAGTATTTAAAAACTGTCATACAAAACTGTAATAATTTTTACATATGTATATGAACTCAGATTAAATTAAATGATTATTTCCTATATTAATAAGATATTGTATTATATAAATCCTTGAAAAAGGTGGTCATTCTGTGTGCGAACTAAACTCGAAACTTCAAAAAACCAAGTATATAAAAAAATTACTCATTAATATATTATATAATTAATAGAAAATTATATATATAAGTTATAAAATATAAATTAATATGTCAAAATCATATATATTAATTTTTAGTTAATTCTAAGTAAAATATACTAACAAAATTTTAACTGAAATCTTAGTTACAAAAATGTACAATATATATATAAGAATGTTAAAATGTATTATAATTGTAGAATGTTATGTATACAGACACGCGCGCACGCACACGCACATACATACATACATATGTATGTGTATAATAATTCTAGATAGAACCGGTATTAAATTTTATAATACGATACCTGTGATGAAAATCGATCGTCCCATGTAAAATTGTTGCACTGACGTTTTATTGGTACTATTTTCGTTAAGATTTACCATGCTTGGGTAACTTTCCTATAATAATAATAATAATAGCCTGTTTATAGTCGTGATTAGTTTGTAACATTTTGTCAAGGACTACTTTTTTATTTGCAAAAAAATGCTCGGAATTACTTTTACTTTCCAGGCGACTTTTAGTTTTTTTCCATCTGCTTAAAAATCGCTGATATCATAAAGTTATTCCAAGCATTGATCTAAGATTAAATGATAAATCAGAATCCAGATTGCGAAATCGTTTTCCCCAATCGTTTTTATCCAAGCGCAAATAGAGAGAATAATTCCGGGATTCAGATTCTGATTATAATATTGATTAAATGAACTTGAAACAATTGGGTAAGTTTAAGAAAATGAAAGTAAAAATTTTCTAACTTTGTTAGAATAAAATCTTATTCAAAAGTTCCCATGAAAATTCAATCAAAGTGATAATAAAATTACTGTTACTCGTAAAAATGAATATTTTGCTCAAACTCAGAATGAATTCTAACTCTATAACAGTGAAAGTAAAATTGTTATTGTGGCGATGGAATATATTAAATACGCTTTTCAATTTCGAATAAAAATATCTACTGGACGATTCACTCTGTATAAATAAAAATTACTCGAATTCGTGTGTCTCGGTTTTCGCTGAGCATTTCGATTGAAATTCTGCATAAAAAAATTAAAATAGAAAAGAAAAATTATTAGTCAAATAAATCCCAATTGACAGAATTACGCATAAAACAAGATATATTATTGTACAAAAGAGAAAGACACAAGAGAAAGACTTATGTACTTACATCGTTGTTATTATTATTATTCGACATGATCGACGTCATGGAATTTGAAAGCATAAAACACGAATTCGACGTGGACATATTAATCCTCTGGTTTCGTTGTTCCAGCAAATGCTACCATATTATCAGAATAAAGTAATTTGAAAAACAATGTGCGATTAATACATTTCAATCGGTGCGTTCAAGAAGACACTATTAATGCTATTTAGCGCTACAGCGCTGCTCGCGGCATTAGATGATAGTCCTAACAAACGCTATAATAACGTGATGCTAATTGTAACGTTTACGTTAGTAACTTCAATAGCGCCTCCCTGATACGCATAGTAAATCGAGAATTTCCACGAGATTATGGTCATAGTACATTGAGCAATGGATATTTTTTGTAATCGTATTAGCATTAGAAACTGGAATTCTGACTTTCGCAATTCCGAGCAAGAAGGAAGTACGTAGTTCATCTTGTTTTAGGAAATAGTGTTTTTTTATTTGATCTTACTTACGCTTGCACTGACGTAGCTGACCTTTCTCACGGTTGATTATTATTACATGCGGCTCTCTGTTCTTCTTTTTTATATATCCCTATATCGATTTGAATCTTATATACTCTGGTATCTTTAGCAAGAATAACACAGTAACCTAATTTTTTGTACTTATTCTGCAAGAGTTCCAACACTGAGTTACAATACTTCGCGATGTGTGCATTTTTTACGTATCATGTTATGTACATTATATTATATGTCGTGCGCTTACTAAATGCTAGGAGGAATAATTAGAGTACAGTTATAATAATATTTATGTACAAACTATGAAAGTTCAAGTTTAATATGAGGGCAATTTAACGGCTGTCTTAAATCCACTATGTGTCGCTAATTAAATTAATAGTAAATTAAATAGAATAAATTTTTACATCTAATTTCCACTCCGAATGCAGCCGTATGACATAAATAAAATGACAGTTGCAATCAGAATTGAAAATAGAATACCACTAGGCCAGTGAAAAGTCAGTTAAAGAATAAAGCGTTGACTTCGGCGCTCCACTATAACGTCACGTCCTTCCCGTCTGCTAGTCGACGAAACAATAAGAAATGTAGAAGTTTTCCATCAAGATAACGGCTTCTATTTGAGCAACTGATCATTTCCATGAAATGGAGTCGTTTTTAACATATGATTCATCATATTCTCACGTGTAATGGGGAACGTCGAGTTCTCATGTTGACATATTGAATTATAGTATGAGTTATAATATAAACGATGCATATAAATGCAATAAATGTGTGTTGTACTTTCAATGGTACTTTACATGTTATCGTGTTACAAGCCAAGTTAAGTTTTATTTATCAACTAATGTATGTCTCGAAACAATTATAAAAATATTTTGTGATTACGTTTTGTTTTGAAGACAAATTACCAAATAATCTGAACGGAAAATTTAATGTGGTGCCATTGATGGTCCACACGGCACGGATAAGGCGAGCGTTTTAATATATTATAATTTTTTACAAATTGTACATCTCAGAATTATTAACCATTCTATCAATACATAGACTAATATACGATCATTGATATGGAAAAATCGTCCGTAATTTCTTGTGTGTGACTTTTGAAATATATTCGTCTTGTTCAGTGAAAGAATCTATTTTTTATATCTATGGCATAATTTTCCTATTAAGCAAAACGGGTGCGTTATAAAACTTATACAAAAATTACAACTTTTCTTCTTACGATTATACCTCCAATTATACCTCCCAACACAAATTGTATATGATTCGTCAAACACATTAAAATATTAATATTTACCATCCGTATTAAATTTTATCGTCGTTTTCACAATGCCATATGCTGATAACAATTATTTATAATGACATTGAATAAAAATTATTTATTGACAGAAAAATTAATATGCTGACTGCTGCGATAATAATTGACTAGAGCGTCAGTAACCAACGCCGTAACATTACCATGCATTTCACTAATTTATACAAGGTGAATTTATACAGGAGCATAAAATGACTGATTTAACTATTAGCGAAATTTTAAGGCATAAAAAAAAGTAGTTCGTAAGTATCAGCTTGTTCAGTACAGAGGTGAACACATCTTGTTTGTAATAAAAACATTGAGACCATAAACGTAGATAAATAGAAATATCAATATTTTAAAAATTTACCAACTCGTGATAATGTGATTTTTCAAGTCAGTACAGTACTCGAGGCTACTCCGTGGAAGTGCTAAAAAAATAAAAACAGTGGATCAGTTAACACACAGGGTTTTATCTATGTCATTAAGTCCAAGGTCAAAATTTTGAATTCAATAGAAAGTATAACGCCTCAGACCAGGTTATCGGTCGACCGACCTTGCTCTCGATCGTTCGCAATGTATCGGAGCGCAGGAGTTTTTAATTGAAAGTGAGCGCAAATAAGTCAGAGTCAAGTTTTTAAATGGTCCGTAGCCGACGTTATATTATTTCGTGAGAACACGCTGAGGCCACGTGCCGATGCTAAACGTGCTTTACCGTGTGTGTCTCGGATGTCTTGTCGCTATATTTAACGGTTACAACGGAGACACATGTACGCGTAAGCGAAACAAGATTCAGATGCATACACGAATATTTAAATGAGCCAAGCTTTATTATTTACAAACGCAAGTGTTTGAGGAATATGTACCGAATATGAGCCGTAAAGGCAATAACGCTTAAATACAAGTAAAAAAAAAAACGCCGGAGGCAATATACAGAGATTATGTATATCAATAGATGCAGTTTACAGGAAACAGTAATAATAATAGATGCGATTGTTTCCTTTCGCCGGGATATTAAAGACGTCGTCAGTCACGGCTCGCCGTTGACAGCGAGAAGAAACCGCGCAAAACTCGGCGCGTCGCAATATCTCTCGTTGTGTACACATACAAGAAACCGGCCACGAGCCGATGTTTGACGTTCGGCGCAGGTACCGCGATACGAAGAGCTATTTTCTTTTATTGTGGAATTCGGTAACTTTTCTTTTGTTATAATCACAAGTGAGTATCTTAATAAACGATCGTTCCGGTAAATGCACCGCACAACGGTCTACCTGATGTAGATTGTAAGGAAACCGATTTCGATGGTCGCGGTCCTACAAGCGGACTGAGACAGCGACAAACGCGCTTGTTTAGTCGCGAAAGGAAGGGAAACGAAACAAAGTATAATGACGTTCGTCGGTCGTCTCGGAAAAGAAAAACAAAAATGCCGTTTGGTCGATAGACAAGAGGGAAGAAAAGAAAAAGAACTTTGGAATATGTGATCGTTCCAGAAGACGCGCCGGGGCAACGGCAAACGCGCTCTCTAGAACTCGATCTCTAGAACAGAAACAGGAAGCACGTCTATACGGAGGGCGGCGAATGTGGCCCGATAAATTACTCACGCCGATATCCTCTACAAGCTCTCTAAAAATTTTCTCGGAAAAGACTGTCTCGGGAGCTCGTCTCAGGAAGACTCTCCGGTAGCAAGACTTCGGCCGGATTATATATCCTTGATTTCTGCAGGTTCGGTCTTTTTCGGATGCTGTCCATTCCTTCTCAATCGTGCTGAATTTGATTAATCGGGATTAATCGTAAAAAGATGGCGATCGCCGATTATTTTCGGCGATGCCGTGAACACGGCTCGGCCGTCGATCATGCCCGAATTCCGTTGGCGGGAGCTCGGCTATCGTCGCACAGTGGTCAAAACGGCCGAAAACGTGGCCAAAACCCATTTGTTTAACATTTTTTTTAATCATTATTATATCATATTTTGTTAATTCTAAGTCTTTTCTAAACTTCTATGAAGTCGTATTGCAAAATAATTCCATTTATGGGAGTTACAAGTACACGAAGTTCATGAAAACCGCAAGTTTCTTATGTGATTTTAGGAGCTATAATCAGTATGACAAAAAAAAAAAGTATGAAAAAAAAAATGTGATTCCATTCACAGGATTGCTACTACATCAGGTCATTCGATTTTTTCATCGATTTATTTCATCGTTTATATTCATCGTTTAGTTGTATGATTTGTGCTTCTAACACTGTTATTTATTAAATTTTCATTGCAATTAATAAAAATATATGCTTCCTGAGTAAAGCAAAATAATGTTGTTGTGTAAAATGTAACTCTAATTAAGAATTGCGATTCAAAGTCCCTATTATGAACCGGTGCTATGACTCTTGTAGAACTTAAAATGTAATGATACATAGAAATAAATAAGAAAAAGTTTGTCTGTGCCAAACTGCGCCGGAATATTGTAATCGCAGCATGAAGTTGGCAGAAATTGAGTTTCGACAATTTGCCGAAATTAAGAGAAATTCTTGCTGCGATTTTTTCTTAACCAATTGCTTTTTATCTGTATTTTTTATTCTCAGTCGAAGTTTAGAATATTATCTCTACCATAATCTTCTGAATTATTTATTTATAGAAATTTCATAATATTGGACAACTTTTTTTTTTGTGGTCGGAAATATTCTCTGCATCTTATTTAAAGACATCCATAAGATTAATTTAATAGAATTTTTCTTTGGATTTAAGATAATTAATTTTTTAATTGATCAAAAAAGTTCGTTGTACGAATCATAAATTTTTTTATCAACAAGGTCAAAGCAAAGTTACCTTGAATTTTTCAATCGGAACGTTTGGAAAGCTCGTTACTAGAATATACAAAAAAAAGTAGGACGTTCCAGTTGAAAAATTCAAAGTGACTTTGCTCCAACTTTGTTGACCTTACCCAAGGTCAAACTGATAAAATCAGTATATAGATCATTTTAAACCCTGCAACTTTTGTCTGAAACATTTTTTTCAAAAAAATATTTTTGAGATATTTCAGCGTTTCCGGGTCTTTTTGAGAACCTATATACAGATGTGATATACCATCAAACGTTATATCTGCAAAAAGCAATAATGGTAGTGATATTTTAAAAATGGTAAACAATACGAATATCAATGTTATCCAGCATAAATTACAAATGCCGCCAGTAAATGAAACTAACAGTTGTTATTATTAGTCAATTATTATTTGTAACATTCGATGTCTCGTCGCTGACTCAAATATATTGCAGGATACAACTTTCGATATACGAAGAAAATAAATTGATATAATGCGAAATTAAGTATTTATAAAATTTCGAACAAATCCCGTGTGAAAGTTAAAATTGCTGGAAAATATAATCAGTAATAATAAACTTGCATGTCATCTGTTTGAACAACCATCGTCGCTCACCTATTAATTTTTAACAAATATTCCTCTACAGATTGAAATCTACATATTTTGCCGTAATGCCTACATACTTTATAATAACGAACAATATACATTATACTATAACTACATACATTGCATTACATATATATTGTATATAACTAAACTACATACTTTATAAACTATATAAAAGAAATAAAAAGAAAGAATATAAAAAGAGGAACGTCTTTTCTTCTTTCTTTCTATATTCAATTTCGATTCCTTCTTTATCTAATTATTTTATTTTCTCTTTCTCCATTCCTCAATCTATTATTCAACATCAAATCTTAACTTTCTTTTTGTACAGAATATATGACAGTAAAGTAAGATATCGATGCCCCTGACAGCTGCAATAAGGGAGAGATAGGATTTATAATTATATATATACATTCTAAAGTATACTCCCTTCCTAGAAATGTATTACGATTTATACTAATATTTTTTTACCGTAGCGAAGCACTCTAGAGATGCTGAAAATAATCCGCCGATATTCAAGCTATATGTTTTATTTCCTCTTTGTAATAGAAATAGTACCAACCGCTGCACTGGTAGAGATGCCATATACCAGCGAACGTTATATCTGCAATGTAATAATTAAAATCGCACCGATAATTCCATGACACTGACATTAGTGATATTCAAAATATAAACATCTGACGTTGAGAATTATGTCAATATTGATTCCCATTGCTAAAGTGACTAATTATAAATATTATACGAAAAATGCCTTACGCGGAAAAGAATATACAGCTGTAATGATCTGTAACTTCTTGTCCGAAATAATTGGACAAGAACATGTACAAAAGAATACAAGTTAGATGTATAAGATGCATAAAAAGCTCTTTGTAATTGCCCTCAAACGATGATATAATCTGGAAAATCTAAGATAATTCAAATTTAAAACAATCTGATCTACAATTGAGATATATGTTTCTTTGCACGTGGAATCAATCGTTACTTCATGCGAAAAGGTGTATTACAAATATTAAAAAAGTGCGAAACTGTAAACAAGAAGGAAAACACATGTTGAATTTGTTCTGATAATATTTTTACTGTTTGCATGGTTTAAGGTGCGGATCCTCAATTATCTTTATATTATGTTTGAATTATAATATTATATTTTGATTCCTTGTAAAATAATTAAATAGCGCTTCAGATGTTCTTAATTGTGTTTGAGTGAGTGACTCACTCGGTAAAGATTAAAAGTCAGGCAAATCACGCCAAGCACTATCATGAGGAAGTATGTTTTCTCAAAGTTAGATATCATGAACGTGGAAAAACTTGTGAAACAAAAATAGTTATTATTGAATGTATATGTATAATAACGTTCGTATCATAAAATATATACTAACTCCATAGCTTTGCGATGTATATCCACAGCATAAATGATCTCCCTCCGAATCATAATCTCATTTTTCGGGCTGATGTAATCTTTATCACTCGTGTTGAATGCTCGCTTCATACGATAACTAAAAAATATTTTCTACAATTCTCGATATCTAACTTGATTTTATTAGAGACTGCCAACGAATTTTTTTCATTCAATTAAAGTTCATATTCGTCGTTTGTTCGCTTTCCTCACCTTGCGATGTCAAACAATCCGCATGTGTACACGAGGTATCCTATGATTAAAGTACCAGTCGCTATTGTTACATATATCGTGATACAAGCGCTCACAGACATGTGCAGTAGAATTAGACACAAATCTTTCTCTCGATTAGTCAGATAGTCGGTGAGCATCTGCATAGTGCGTTGTGGATTCTGTGTCCATATTGATTGAGAAATAAAAAAAATCACACAGTATGCCGGCCACTAAAAGTGTTCAAAGAGGCAGCCGTATGAATAGTTATATCTCAATTTTTCGAGCTATTAATTATTCTACAAACTATTTCATTTTGCAGCCTGTGATAAGAGTAAAAAAATCTTACTTAAGAGACTAATCGTGTAACGTCTTGTGATACGATTGCAACTTTCTATAATAGCGATTTCGTTCTCGTCTTTTAAACACATGTGCCAGATATACTCCAATAAACACCTCACCTGTCATATTATCAATTGGTGACGTTTCTACATATTTTTAATGACAGTAGCCATGGTTTATACAAATAGGGATTTGTACAGGTAATTACAGATGATAATTGCACGAAAGTATAGAATATCGGAATTAGCACAATTGAGATATAATTCGAATGCGAGAACGTGGACATGCTTATACTAATTACATAGTCCTACTTAAAACTCTATGAGTCATTATAACGCACACAGCAAAGGTGCAGCTTACAGTTTTGATGTTAACCCAAAACGAAATATATTGAATTCCGCCGATAATGTGACACGATACGATAGAGAGCACTTTAGTAATCAAATCAAGCGTGTACTCTGCAGTCATTAATGTTTGAAGCTGCAAACGATAAATTGATTAAGATGTTGACAAATAACAAATATTTTCTTAATTGACAAGCAAATTGTATTTAAAAACTTTTAATATCTTTTTATGGATAAGAATGGATTTATAATTGATTTCTAATTGATTTCTAATTTGAATACACACACACACACACAAACATACAGCATTGTGAGGAGAGTTACGTATCATATTTATAGGACCATATTTTGTGGATATATTGGTGACTAAATATAATATAATATAAATTTCTTTGGTGACTAAATATAATATAAATTTCTAAATCTAAATTTTGTCTGACTTATAAGAAATTCACATTATCAACATTATCAACATTAAACCTCTAACAATTAAATTTATTGCCAAATGTACGCTCGGTTTATAAAACATAATGACAAGATATAAAATAATTACGTGATTAGCCGAAACTTAAGCATTTTTAATTAAAAGGTTGTTATCCGGATTAACAAGCGGCATGCACTTTGATTCTTTTCAGATTCTCACAACTTTACTTTCTGCAGTGTAATTAACCGTGACTCTAACATCACCGATGTATCGATAAGATGACGAATATTGACGTACCTGAAATAGAATGGAGCTCATGTGTATACTGAAAATTAAAATTATTTGAAGCCGAGCGCACTTCTGTCGCTGATAGGGCCATAAGCCAAGTGCGAGCAGCAAGATCCGATTCAGTTTAAAATATTGCGTTCTGTAGCGGATCATGTCTCCGCGCACGCCAATATATCTTTGATTGCGGAAACGTGATCGTGGTATCCGCTCACACTTCTTTCCGATCAGTAATTTGGATAATGTATTTTCATTAATTATCTTAGACTTTAAGATAAATGGCCCAATTAAGTTCAAGTATAAGACAAGGCTTCGCAAAATTCTACCGTGAGAGCGGAACACTCGCGGTTGCCCCATTTTTCGTTGCAAAATAGGCTAATAATCGATCGATCTGACACTATGAAATTCAACAAGAACGAGAGACCGTAGAAACTCAGAACACCATAGAACACTCATATGACCATTATCGATCGAAGTACGCGCAAGCGTGGTCCCTTTATTTTCACGCCATAGCTTCTCACGCTTCATTCTAGTTCGTGCACTTGTCCGAAGACTTTCAAACCTTGGATGGAAGAGGACTACTCTCGCACTTGGTCACACGAATATCAACTCTATAATTTATCACGGTAGAGTATGAAGCACTATAAAGTGTGATGCTGTTGGTGGTGTTGAACCTTCTGTTACTCTCATTTCGATGTTTCAAACCGATAAAACACAAAATCAATGCTTTTCCACAAACTTTATGTTGAAACTTAAGAATATAAATATCAGCAAAATTTTGTATACTCACCTATATTACATGCCACGTTTCTAGCTATCGTTTCTACTAGACAGATTTTCTAAGAGATCTCCTTGCTTCTATAATATCAAAAGCTATCGGTGAACAAAACATTCACAGCTATTACTTGCAATTAGATATTATTTGTGTTATTGGACCTCCAGTTGCTGATATACTTCCGACATACTATGAAAGGCGACCTTCAATGCGCGAAGTGAAAAAGTGTTTTCTGTGCGAAATTAAATAATTCGAAATTAGACAGAATTAAATAACAGAATTAAGTGGTTAAAGAATATGATCAACCGTGATAATGAATAATTATTTAAGCTTTCCGTTTAAACTTCGTTTCAAAATTCGAAATTTTCTAATTAATCGACAATTTGAGAACCATTTATTTTATGGCCAGTAACCAATTACAAATAAAGAAATTCACATAAACCTGTTCACCTGTTCTATCCTTTTTTTCTACTTTTTGCTATTGAAGTTGAATCTCAACTCCATTATTGTACAGAATACATAACGGTAAAGTAAGACATCGACGCGCTCGACAACTGAAATAAGAGATGGTCTTTAAATGCTTTTTCACTTAAAATGTGTTATCTCCAATATATCGTGATGTGTCCTGAGTTTTTATTACCGTAGCAAAACATTCTAAAGATGCTGCAAACAATCTACCGATAATTAAGGCGAAATTCTTGTTTCCCCTCTGTAATAGCAGCACTAACAATTTCTGTATAGTTAAAGGTGTCACATACCATTGAACGCTATATCTGAAGAAAAATATTTGTCTTTGAAAATGAAGCTATTCTTCAGTTTGTTTGTCTTTTGAATTGTTAATATTATACCGAAAAGTATCTTACGCAGTAAGAAATATATAATTATAGTGATCTGTAACTTGTTGTCCGATGTAGTTCGATAAAAACATATACAAAAGGATAATGTTCAGATATGTTAGATGCAGTAACAATTCTTTGACATCATATTCAATCGAAGTAATCTGAAAAATCTATGAAAAAATTAAAGTCATGATATGATTAAATTAAGCCTCGCATACTTATTTTAGAACTGATCGTTGTTTCGTATTTTATGTTATTTCATAAAAGAGATGTCATATTGCTACAAATTAGGATAGGGAGGCAAGAAAAGAAATTGTCACACATGTCATTTTTGAGATATTTGTGATTATTTTGGAACATACGCGCTCCCTCTTTTTCCTTCTAAAATTTAAATCATCAAATATTCTTATCAACAGTATGCTTGTATCTTATAACCCACATAGCACACTCAGGAATGTCCGACAGACATTATTCTGGGATACTGCAATATCTTGGGGATGTACAAATGTCCACTGTTTTAGATCCTATAGATATCCTTTTTAGTAACTTTAGTTCCTTTTCCGAAACTTTTAGTTTTCAAAAATTATTACTAAACGAGATATCCATGGGATATCTGTGGGATCTAAAACAACGGACATTTGAATATTCCCGGGATATTATTGTAGGATGTTCTTATAGGATAATGTGTGTTGTGGGAAATTTTTCTGAAACAGTAAAATATTTTCTGGATTATACAAAACTGTGTTTAGGATGGTGAGAAGACTCACACGATAAAGATTGAAACTCAAGGAAGTGACGCCGAGTATTATCAGAAAGAAGAATGTTCCCTCAAAATTGTTTATGAGAAACGTAGAGTACCTGGAGCAATGGAAGTCGTTATTATGACACGTATTATATACGTGTGTGTGTGTGTGTGTGTGTATATTCAAATATATATTAACTCCATAGCTTTACGATGAATATCCACGGCGCAAATGATCTCCTTATAAATCATAATTTCATTCTTCAGATTGATATCGTTTTGAGCTTTCTGATCGATATTTATCGCTTGGCTGATACGATAACTATAAATAATGTTTGTGTTGTAAACACTTTTGCCTTATTATATTATATTATAATATTATTAAAGATGACAAACGATGTTTTACTTTCGATCTAAATTTGTATTTATTGCCACATTAATTTTCTCACCTGGCGATACTAAACATTCCGCAGACATATTGGAGATGTCCTAAGAGCATAGTACCAGTTGCTAATATTATGGTCAGCCCTATACATATAGTTACATTCGTGTGCAGCAAAATCATGCATAAATTTTTTTTCCGATCGACAAAGTAGTCGATTATCATCCATACACGATATGGTCGAGACCCATTCGTAAACAAGAAAATGTCATTATTCTGTCCCAATATTGACCCGACAATAAGGACAAGCATACAGCATACACCAAACACTAAGAACGTTCAAAGAGATAGTCGTATGAACAAGTAAAATTAATTTCTCATCGTATAAATTTTATCATAAATTATTTGTAACGTTCAAATGTGGCTCTCATAGACCGGATATTAATTTAATATGTTTTTTTATTCTATCTTCTTATCTTATTCTTATTCGTTAATTTAATATATAATTTTATTGATTATATTTTTTTTCACTTTTGTAAAAACATGATATGTTGTAAACACGTTAATCATTTAATATTTGAGTCACGAGTGTAGCCCACTTTATTTTGCAACTTGTGGTAAGAGTCAATAAATTATATCTTACACGTAAGACCAAGCGTATAACGTCTCATGTTGCGACTGTAAATTTCTATGATGGCGATTTCATTCTCGTCCTTTAAATTGTTACATATATGCCGCAAGTACTCTATTGACCACCTTACCTGTTATTAGTTACGACATCTTCATATGTTTATAAGAAGAATGATTGTTGTAGTTTATAAACGAGAATTTAGGTATAGGAAATAAATTGCGCGGAGAGTTAGGAGGTAGGATTTAGAACAAAACTGAGAGATAATTTAAATAAGATTTAAGAATATTAACTTGCACGTAGTTATAAATTATATCATTTATAGTTTCACACGTCGCATTAAAACATTTGTCAATTCGGAACATATAAAAAAGCAGCTTACAGTTTTCATGTTAATCCAAAACGAAATATATTGAATTCCAGTGATAATGTGACATAATGTAGCAGAGAGAACCTTAATAATTAAATTAGATGTAACGTCATCAGTCATAAACACTCGAAGCTGTAAGCAATGATCTTATTAGAAATAAATAGGTAACGATTATTTTTCACTACCTAATATATTATGTATTAACATAAGTGCTAGACAATTATACTCAGTGCCGAAGATCAATTGTAGAAATGTTGAAAATTGAATGGCAAATAATCATGAAAAAGATAAACGTCATGATTAGCAGAGAGCTTTGAATATCTGTGATTAAAAATTATTATCCGGATTAACAAATAGTATAAACTTTTATTATTAAAATTTTCACAATTTTCTGGCTACGGTAAATTAATTATCACAAAGCACAACTAATGTATTAATACAATTAAAAATACGGACTCACCTGAAATAGAATAGAACTCATCAGGATGCTAAAGATTAAAGTTATTCGAAGTCGAGCACTTTTTGAATCTTGATAAGGCCATAAACCAAGTATGAGTAATAAGATCCGATTCAATTTAAAATATCGCATCTCGTTCTGGAGCATCATATATTTGACTGCAGAACTCGAAATATCGTTCATCCCCTTCTTGCAATCGTATAACTTGAGCTAAATTAAGCAATTTATGTTAGAGTTTAAGATAATAAATAGAGGGAAGTGAATTTTCTTTACTCAAATGACTAATACACTTTCCTTTACTACCGTAAACGGTAAAACTCTAACATAAATTGTTCAATTTAGCTCAAACGTGAGGTAGAACGGGGCGAAATTAACCATGCAAGAACGAAACACCTGCGGTTGTATTACTTAGTGATGAAATAAACAGACAAATGGATGATTCATTCGACGTCTTACGAAATTCAACGAACGTTTTATTTTTCCTAGAATAACAATTGTATGGTAACCTGTTGGTCGAGGCACGCGCACGCGTAGTAGTGTTTTTTCCTCACGCCGCAGTTCTTCGGGCTTTACTCCAGTTTGTGCACTCGTACACTTTAAACCTTGAGAGCGACATGAGTTTACCTGTCACACATATACCGACATGTTAGTTGATATTATTACCTGTGAAAAGTGAAGTACCTGTATAGCCTGTGATATAAAGTTCCTGTGATAATATCAAAGTCTGCGCGTAATAAACTTCGTGTTTGTAAATACATCGCGATCAAAGCACACGTGTTATATGTTTATGTATTGGGTATGTTATCAACAATCGCTATTTGTGAAACTCGTAGTTTCAGACAAGCGTAAATTTTTACGTTTATCTGTATAAACGTATTGTGTAGCAGCATTAATATGCATCATACCTTGAAGTTCGAAACAATCGAATAGCTTGGAGCATCGTCTCAGTATCTGAAATTTTCTAACTGACGATCAGCGATCTAAGCACTGTTTACTTTGTACACTAATTAATTAAGGCGAAGAAATTAAAAATGTTACTATTTTTTTTATCTTCCATTATGCTATTGAACGATATATTTTAGATTCATTGATGCGCTGAATACATAACGGTAAAATAAGACATAGATGCGCTTATCAACTGTAAAAAAAAACATTTTTATTTGTATAACTTTGTTTAAAATATGCTATCATAAATACGGCGCGATTTAGTCTGATATTTATTTACCGTAGCGAAACATTCTAAGGATGCCGAAAATAATCCACCGATATTCAAAAAGAAAGTTTTGTTTCCCCTCTGCAGCAGCAACACTAACAATCTTTGTATAGGTAGAGATTTCATATACCAACGAATATTATACCTGCGAAAACATGAAAGCTGGTTTGAAACTAAACTAATGTTGAGTATAATCATTAACTTTTAAAGTGATTTTTAACTGCAAATATTATGAAAAAAGTGCCTTACGCGGTAATAAATATATTATTGTAGTGGTCCGTAATTTGTTGCCCTATATAATTCGATGCGAACATGTATATAACGATGGCATGTAAATATCCTAAATGTATTAATAATTCCTTGTCTTCGTATCCATATAATACAATCTGATAAACCTAAGAGAACATGTCTTAGTTGAGTCCCTTGCGTACATTTTAAAATTAAACGTCACTTTGCACAGAAGAACATTATATCGCATCAATTAGCAACAAAATACAGGAAGACTAAAAAAGCAATTATTAGTCTTAAAAGTGTTAATAATTAATGTAAAGTTTGCGTAATATTTAAAATTCAAAGCATTCAATATTTTCGATACATACAATATGCTTGTATTTTGCCTTATCACAGATCCTTCTGATGCAATAAAATATTTTCCTGTATAGAAAACTGTTCGTACAGAATCGTGTTTGGGAGAGTGAAGATACTAACGCGATAAAGATTAAGACTCAAGCTAATCACACCAAATAGTATCATGAAGAAAAATGTTCCCTCAAAGCTGGTTATTAAAAACGTGGCGTAGCTGGAGTAATGGAAATCGTTATTATGATATATATTGCATACGTATAATATATTTAAATATATACTAACTCGATAGCTTTGCGATGAATGTCCACGGCGTAAATGATAGCTATGTGAATTTTGATTTCATTCTCTAGGTTAGTATCGTTTTGGGTCTTCTGTTTAATACTTAACGCTTGATTAATACGATGGCTGCAAATAATTTTTGCATCGTGAACACTTGTATCAAGCATCATTAAAAATGACAAATGAAAACATGAATCAAAATTTATTGTTATATTTATTGTTTATTGTTATATTTATTTTCTTACCTTGCGATATCAAACATTCCGCAGCTATACTGGAAACAAAATATGAAAGCTCCACCAGTTGCAATTGTTATGGTTAATTCTATACAAATAATTAAAATCGTATACAGCAGGTGTAAATTTAACCATTTTATTCGATTGTCAAGATAGTTCCTTATAAAATGCACTGTGGAATGTGACCGAGATTCATTCATGACTAAATGAACATCAAAATTTTGTACCCAGAATGACTGAACAATTAATATAAATATATAAAATATGCTGACCACTAAAAACGTTTAAAGAGATTATCGTATAAATATCGTATAGATATTTTTCCAATTTTTTGTTTATTAAGCAATACAAATGTTCGTACGTTATAAAAGTATTTTAAAGATTAGTATTTTTTTACGGATAATAAAATTGAAAAAGTGTTCGGAATTTCTTCTTTAAAAACTCTTTAAAAGTACTCTTCAAAATTCCTGTGTTATTCTTATTAGAATTTTATACTTCGTTATTGTTGCGAAATGTTTGAATCTTTGATTTTGATTGGTTTAGCAATTTACAGTTTTTAATATAAATTGACAAATATCTTACATGTAAATATAATCGTATAACGTTTCACTATACGTCCACAACCTTCTATGATAGCAATTTCATTTTTGTCTTTTAGTTTGTTACACATATGCCGCATGTACTCGAATAAACTCCTCACCTGTCATATCAAATTCTAAATTAAAGCGTTTTTATATTTTTGTAACTATAATTATTGTAATCTGCATAAATGAAAAATTGTACAAATGAATAGGTGATAAAAAATATTATATGAAAGTCCAACATATAGAAATCTCAAAATCGAGATACGATTTAAGAACGCGTTACGTTAAGAATGCGAACATGCCTCTAACTATAGTGTCTAACTTTATATAGATTCGTCGTCACAATAAAAGCATAGCTTACAGTGTCAATGTTAATCCAAAACGAAATATACTGAATTCCGCTAATAATATGACACAATATAAGTGAGGAAACCTTAATCACAAAACCGTCTGTAACCTCTGCAGTCAAAAATATTTGAAGCTACAAGTGATAAAATTATAAAAAAGTTAACAAGCAACAAGTTCTTTCTTACTTCCTGAAGCATATTTAAAGAATTCAGTTGACTTCAAACACAATAACGCTCAATAATAGTTTATAGTACAATAACACATGCAGACTTCTAAACTGTCTGTCTCATACGAAATCGGCATGTTAAATTATATCGATTTAAATGTTAGGTTATCAGAGTATCATTCACCAGATTATTAGGACATTAATTTTATACTTAATATTCATATTAATATAAATTTATTTAATATCAAATTTAGTAACGAATATACGTTTATATCATAGAATTTAATAATTGATAGGAAGAATTAATTGCGCACGAGAAATAAATTTCTTTAGTCAAAATTTAAACATTTGTATTAAAAGCTATTATCCATTAACAAAGGATATTTTTCATTTACTTCATTTTTATTTCTTAAAAATTATTTTTTAATGATCATAACCGCTCCCACGACAAGATTGTTAACACAATTATAAATGCGGACGTACCTGATATATAATAGAACTCACCAGAATACCAAGATATAAGATTACTTTAACTCGAGCATTTTTTGGTTGCTGATAAGGCCATAAGCCAAGTGTGAACAGCAAGATCCGATTCAATTTAAAATATTGTATCTTATTATAGGTCATGTCGCCGTGAATATCGAAATATGTTTGACTGTAAAGTCGAAGTATCGCTCATCTCCTTGCGAACATTATTTGGATAATTTATTCTGCTTTCTCTCTTATCTTAAATTCGAATATAAATTCCCCCGTTCGGTTTAAGTGTAAAGCAAAGTGGCACAAATTCTACCGTGAGATCGGAACACTTGCGGTCGTACCACTTCATACTGAGAAACAGAGAGGTAAATAAACCATTAATTTGACACCCTATGAAATTCAACGAATGTTTATTTCCCGTAGAATAACACTTTTGAATAATAAATTGCTGTACGAAGTAGGTGCAGGTGTAGGTCGCCCTTTCTCCATGCCTCAGTTTTTCCCCTTTCATTCCAGTTTGTACATTCGTATGGTGCGTTTGCATTTTAGGGACAGATATCGAACAGTCATACGTGTCAACACTTATAAAAATTGCTTCCATAATTATTAGCTAGTGTACAAAACTTCCGGTAGTAACATAAGGTACTTGCAAACTTTGTTCCCATGCGTTACAATAAAAGCATAAATGCCTGCAAGAAAATTTGCTTATTTTATATTTATATATCATATTATGTTATGTCATCGATTGTTATAGATAAAATAATATATGTCGTTAAAGGTATGTTTTAATATATATACACTAAGTATATCAATATCAAATGCAATCAAACGGGACAAATCTCTCTAAAAAAAACTGAAAATTAAAATAATCTACTGATATTCAAAACGAAAATTTTGTCACCTCATTGCAATATCAGTGTTAATTTTTGTGTAGACAGGGATGTTACATATCAGGTAATCAAAAAAATTCTGTCACTCGTGCGTGAGTCATATGGCGTATTCGAGTGGCATGTGTTTTAACCCATCTGGTGCCGAACCGGTAGTTTCGTTCCGTAAAACAAATATATTTAGGTGGTTAAAGACGTCGTCGAATTATTTTCTTACGCAGTTGTAAATATGTAACTATTGTGATCTAAAATTTCTTGCGAAAAATAACTGGACAGTATGTATAGCGGAAGAAAAAGAGAAAAAGGGAGAGACAGAGGGAGATAGAGAGAGGGAAAGAGAAAGAAAGAAAGAAAGAGACAGACAGAGAGAGAGAGAGAGAGAGAGAGAGAGAGAGAGAGAGAGAGAAATATGACACATGTATTCCATGTGTCATCAGGTGTTGAACACTATCTCCAAATGTCGCAAACTAGGAAACCTAAAGTACCGCGTAAGAAATGTACCTTTTTACGTACATATGTCTTTCACTCATTTTCCATCGCATTCCGGATTGCGAAAAATTACGAAGAAAAAATATATAAAATGCTACACACTCATATATTTAATGTTTTCAGTCATTTTTTGTCACGTAAAAATTAGTTAATCTGTCGTACAATGCAATAATTACAAATTATTTCACTAATTTTAGATTTAGTCTCATTAATTCTAAAAATTCGAATTAGAACATTTAGTGACACCTTTTAAACATTTGTGAGCTTGAATCACGTTTAAACTATATGAGGTATATTTTTGAACATTTTATACTATCGCTTATTATAGACAATGCTGCCAAAATAGTTAGGAAAATGGAATGGTTAGAAAAATTAGACAGACATAAAGGCGAATGTTACATCGTCGTTATTTATTAGTGAAGTTTTTAGTGACATTTGTCAAACGTTCGTGAGTTTGAATCATATGTAAAATTTATGAAGTATATTTTTGAGCATGTTATGTATTCGCTTGTTCAGACTTAATGAGACAATCCTGCAAAAATGGTAGAAAAGTTAGACAGACATAAAGATAAACGTTACCTCGTTGCTAATTTATTAATAAACGAAAGATGCGGGGAAATTTAATATTATTTGCACTCACCATATATCTTCCACAGTAAAAGAATAGATATCTTCGCGAAACAATAGATATCTTTATATCAATGTCGCACCGAACAAAGTACAGTGAAATAAGACATGGAGGTACTTATCAGCTGTGACAAAAGATATTTTGTAGTTAATGCCTCAAGCTAACACGCAGCGTGATTGTAAATAATTATTATATTATAGTAGAATAATTATTTCGACTGAGTATCATCGATAAATATTTTGCACTTTAAGATACAAAGCGTAGAAAATATGGCGATTTAATGAAATTTGTCCTGTATTTTTTTCAAATACACAACAAAATAATATGTTCATACACTGAAGACCGAAAATTTTTCGGTACATACAATATTTCATTGACATTATTTTCCTTTAGGAAGAATTATTCGCAACCATCACATCTGCTCTCGTTGCTTTGAGAAATTTATTTCTGATTGCAAAAAAGGGAATCTCTAGATCTTTATTAATTTCTTTATTACTTCTTACTAGAGCTAAATATTACTTCATTTCGTTCATTTGTCATATTCTTCAGTTGAATGCGCTATGTCGAAATTGTTAAGCTCTAATGCATGATTTATTACTTACCGTGGCGGAACTTTCTAAACATGCCAAAAATAATCCACCAACCTTCAGATTAAAACCTCTCGTGCCTCTTTGCAACAAGAACAATATCATTTTCTGTATACATAAAGGAGCTGTATACCAGCGAATGTTATATCTATGAAGGAGAATAATGATTCATCGAGAAGTAAGAGAAAGCACAAATAATCGTTCGATGCAAGTGCATTCGTTTGGCAAATAATACAAATGTCTAGCAACAATTCGTCAATTGAACGCATGTACGTAATCGCAAAATTGTAATATGACTAATTCCTTACACGGCTATAAATATCTCGTTATTGTGATCTAAAATTTCTTGCGCGAAATAGTTGATTATGAATATATATATAAAAATGATAGATACAACTGTGGAATGTACTATAAACTCCTCGATATTGCCATCAAACGACACAACCTGAAAAATCTAAGATACAATGATTACGGTAAACTCTTTTGTATATATATCTTACATTTAGTTTATATCTCATCACAAAATTTAATATAAAAAGATTAGTGCGAAATTGAATATTTATCTCATTAATTCTGCACGTGTACTATTCACTCGTAAATTTATATGTTTCCTATTTAGTATTTTCCTGGATTTATTATAAAAGATTCCGTTCAAGTAATATATCCAAAGACTAAAGAAAACTTACTCGATAAAGATTCAGACTTAAGCAAACTACACTGATTATTATTACACAAAAAACCGTACTCTCGAGGGTAGAAATAAAGTCTCTGATGAGCCTTTAAACAAACGAAAACGACATTATGTGTATATTATGCATGTATTAGCGAAAATACCAACTTCATAGCTTTGCGATGAATGTCCACAATGTGGATTATTTTATTACAGATCATAATTTCATTCTTTAGATCAACACTTTGTGGAATGTGAATATTCATTGCATGCTCGACTCGGTACCTGTTAATAATTTTTATGTCATACTATAGTCAATTTTCTATTTAAATTTATCGAAAACATCTAAAGCAAAGAAAATTATATTCTTCTTATGATTTTGATAATTATATTATTATCTACATTTCCTTACGTGGCGACTCTAAATATTCCGCAAGTACATTTAACATATGCTATAAACAACGTTCCAGCCGCTAACATTATAAATGTTGCTGCACAAAGAGTCACGTTTATGTGCAGAGTAATTAAATATAAATATTTTTCTTCATCAACAAAGTATTCAGTTATGATGTACATTGCGTGATACGATTCAGAAACATTTATGAACGGTAGAACATTCAATATGCGTGGCCACCATGGTTGAATATTAACAATAAAGAGACAGCACATGCCAAATACTACGGATAATCAGAAACATATTTGTACAAAAACAAGTATTTCTAATTGCCTACCTGTACCTCTCGAAGCATAGTATAATTAAATGTTTTAATATATTTGGTCTTTTAATCATTATTATCCTATGGCGAGTATTATTGGATTTGTAATTTGCGAAATTTGTAATTAATAATTACCATACCTGCACAAGCAAACTGATAGCATCTTGCATTATATCCATACCTTTCTAAAATAGCGATTTCATAATCATCTTTTATTGCATTAAAAATATATTGAATTTGATCGAAAAAAGATCGTATCTGTTAGATCAACATTATTTTATATCAATTTTCACTGCTAAATTTCAAACGCAACACACTCTATATAGAAATTTATTCAAATAAACATTTGTGTTAATGCATGTTTCTTAATACGGTTAATACGGTGTATTAATATGATTAAACGATTGATAGTAAACTTACGATGTATTTATTAATCTGGAGTGAATTATATATAATCACATATATACTACAAAATAATGCTAGTGACAGAACTTTGATGGCAAAATCAGGAGTACATTTTGTAGTCAAGAATGGTGTAAACTACAAATAATAAACGTATTGAAGAAGCGATGACGAATGATTTTTATTTTTAATATTTTAAGGGCCTATATTAATATATAATATAAAATTCTGTATCAAAGTAAGACATGATTGACAAATTGTATCTGGAATTGTCAATGGTTCTTCCATACATGTATTAATGTCACAAGAAATTTATCTTTCTAATTATGCGTTTCTATACATTACTAAGTAAACTATACGTTATTAATATCCGTGGCCCTATCACATTAAATGATTACACTTTTACACGATTGGATATTTCGACATACCTGCACTACTATGATGCTCACCAGAAGAATATAACACAAGATGACTTGAAGTGAAATGAGCTTCGACTGTTTATAAGGCCATATTCCAACTGCAAGCATAAGTACTCGACTGATGTTCAAATATTGAGTTTCAAAGTAGATCATCTTTCTTCAAGCATCAAAACGTGTTTGACAGAGAGAGTGTCCGCGAGAGTTCTTCTATCCCTTCTCTTCGTACAAATGATTAAATATTTCATCTAGTAGCTTTCCTCCAACGTAAACATTATTCTAAATCATTTAATTTAACTCAATTGGAATGCAAGGTGCCGTTAAGTGTCACTGTGAGATCGAAACACCTGCATTTCTACATGTTTGCTGTGGTAGAGACAAGAGATTAAATAATCGATTCAACGAAAAAAGGACTTTAATGGATGTGTTTATTTTCCATAAAAATACCGCCTGAAATTATTTACTCGAGATCATGAAGATGCAGTCATTATTCTATAGTTTCTTATTTTTGTACGTTCCATTGTATCGCGAGCAATTGTTAGTTGTATTAAACTTTTTATGGAAGTCTCAGAGTCGTTAGTCTTATGTATCGTCGCACCGACTATCGATTGATACCACTTATAAAAAGATATACACGAAAATATTATATTCCTCATAACTTTAATAAATAGTAAACGTGATTAAAGACTCATCATCGGATTATTCTTTTACACAGTTGCAAATACATGACTATTGTGATCTAAAATTTCTTACGGAATTAATTAGGGAATTAATTGGACAGGGGTATGTATAGTGAGAGAGGCAGAGGGAATGAGAGAGAGAGAGAGAGAGAGAGAGAGAGAGAGAGAGAGAGAGAAAGAAAAAGAGAAAGAAAGAGAAAGAAAAAGAGAACGAAAGAGAGAGAAAAAGAGACAGGATTGCGAAAAATTAAGAAGCTAAAATAAATAAAACACTACACACATATATATTTAATGGTTTTGAGTCATTTTTTGTCGCGTAAAAATTAGTTAATCTGTGGTTCAGTATAATTACAAATTATCTCAATTCTGGATTTAGTCTCATTAGTTCTAAACATCCGAGTTAGAATTTTTAGTGACACCTGCTAAACGTTTGTGAGCTTAGCACGCTTGAATCACATATAAAATTTATGAAATATATTTTTAAGCATATTATGCATTCGCTTATTATAGATAATGCTGGAAAAATGATATAGATAATGATAGAAAAATTGAACAGACATAAAGATGAATATTACATCGCTGCTAATTTATTAGTGAACAAGGGATACGAAGAAATTTAACATTGCACTCACCACGTATCTTCTACTGTACCCCGAAACGATAGATATCCTTATGTCAATGTTACATCGAACAAAGTACAGTGAAATAAGACATAGAGGTACTTATTAGCTATGACAAAATATTTCATGTTTTGTTATAAATGCTTCAAAATAATAGGAGTTAGGCAGGATGATTGTGAATAATTAAAATGAATTAATATGATATAAAATGAAATAATATTTCTATAGCAGAGTAATTATTTCGACTGAGTACCGTCGATAAATATTTGATACATCAAAATACAAAAACATAGAAAGTACGAAGACTTAAAAAAATTTGTTGTTTTTTTTCAAGATACGTAGGGCATATACAATAAAATAATATGTTTATACATTGAGGACCGAAAATTTCTCGGTACGTACAATATTTCGTCAACATTATCTTCCCTTAGCAAAAATTCGCAACCATCATTCCTGCTTTCGTTGCTTTTAGAAATTTATCTCCGATTACAAGGGGGAGGGGTGAGTCTTTATAGCTTTAAATATTATTTCATTTTGTGCATTTGTCGTATTGTTGAATGCGCTATGTCAAAATTGGTAAGCTCTAAAGTGATTTGTTACTTACTGTGGCAGAACTTTCTAAACATGCCAAGAATAATCCACCGATCTTCAGATTAAAACCTCTCGTACCTCTTTGCAACAAGAACAATATCATTTTCTGTATACATAAAGGAGCTGTATACCAGCGAGTGTTATATCTATGAAGGAGAATAATGATTCATCGAGAAGTAAGAGAAAGCACAAATAATCGTTCGATGCAAGTGCATTCGTTTGGCAAATAATACAAATGTCTAGCAACAATTCGTCAATTGAACGCATGTACGTAATCGCAAAATTGTAATATGACTAATTCCTTACACGGCTATAAATATCTCGTTATTGTGATCTAAAATTTCTTGCGCGAAATAGTTGATTATGAATATATATATAAAAATGATAGATACAACTGTGGAATGTACTATAAACTCCTCGACATTGCCATCAAACGACACAACCTGAAAAATCTATGACATTATGATTACGTTAAACTCTTTTATATATATGTATATGTTGTATGTTACATATTCATATCGCATCACAAAAAGTTAATAAAGAGAAATTAGTGCAAAATTGAATAACTGTCTCATTTTGGACGTGTTCTATCTCTTCGAGAATTTATATTTTTTCTATTTAGGATTTTCCTAGATTCGGGTATTATAAAAAATTCGGAAGCATTCAAGTAACATACCCAAAGAATAAATAAAACTTACTCGATAAAAATTGAGACTCAGGCAAACCACACTGATTATTATTATACAAAAAAGCGTACGTTCGAAGGTAGAAATAAAGTCTCTGATGAGCCTTTAAATAAAAGAAAACGACATTACGTGTACATGATGCACGTATTAGCGAATAAATACCAACTTCATAGATTTACGATGAATATCCACAGCCTGAATTATTTTATTAGTGATCATAAATTCGTTCTTCAAATCAATTCTTTGCGGAATATAAATATCCATTGCATGCTCGACACGGTAGCTGTAAATAATTCTTGTGCTATGCTACAGTCTACTTAAATTTATCAATAACGAATAAATCATATAAAATATTTTACTTACAATTTTGACAATTATATTATTTTCCTTACCTGGCAATTGTAAACATTCCGCAATTACATTTAGCACATGCTATAAGAAACGTACCAGCTGCTAGTACTACAAATGTTCCTACACAAAAAACCATATTTATGTGCAGCATAATCAAATATAAATATCTTTCATCATCAACAAAATATTCAGTTATGAAATACATTGCGTGATACGATTCAGAAATATTTATGAACGGTAGAATGTTCAATATGCGTGGCCACCATGGCTGCATAAAAACAATAAAGAAGCAGCACATGCTAAACACTGTAGATAATAAAAAAAATATTCGTGTCAAAACAACTATTTCTAATTGCCTACCTCTGTCCCTCGAAGCATAGTATAATTAAGTGTTTTATTATTTTCTGATTTTTTTAATCATCATTATCCTATAACGAGTATTATTGGACTTTTAACTTATGAAATAATTAATAATTATCTTACCTGCACAAGCAAACTCATAGCATCTTGCGTTATACCCATATTTTCTTAAAATAGCGATTTCATAGTCATCTTTTATTGTATTAAAAATACGTTGAAGATGATCCATAAGAGATCGTATCTGTTAAGTCAACGTTATTTTATTTCAATTTTCACTGGTAAATTTCAAACGCAATATACTTCACATAGAAATTTATTCAAGGGAATATTTATGTCAATGTGTGTTTATTAACATGGTGCATTAAAATGATTAAACGATTGATTTCATTAAACTTACGATGTGTTTATTAATCTGGAATGAATTATATATAATCGTATATGTGCTGCAAAATAATACCATTGATAGAATTTTGATGACAAGATCAGGACTACATTCTGCAGTCAAGAATGGTGTAAACTACAAACAATAAACGTATTGAAGAAGTGACAACGAATCTTTATTTCTTTTGAGGACCTATAATAATATATAAAATTCTTTATCAAAATAGGACGCGATTGGCAAATTGTAGATTTGAAACTGTCAACTGTTTTTTCCATGTATATACTAACATCACAAGAAATTTTTCTTTCTAATTATGAGTTTCCATAAATCGGTCCTAATCAAAAATATCTGTGGCCTTACAGCTCACATTAAATGATTATACTTTCACGCGATTGGATATTTCGACATACCTGCACTATCATGATGCTTAGCAGAAGAGTATAACACAAGATTACTTGAAGTGAAATGAGCTTCGATTGTTTATAAGGCCACATTCCAACTGCAAGCAAAAGTACTCGACCGATGTTCAAATATTCCGTTTCAAAGCAGATCATCTTTCTTTAAGCATCGAGACGTGTTTGATCGAAAGAGTATTGGCGAAGGTCCGTCTATCCCTTCTTTTCGTACAAACGACTAAATATTTCATCTAGTAGCTTTCCTCCAACGTAAACATTATTCTAAATCATTTAATTTAACTCAATTGGAATGCAAAGTGCCGTTAAGTGTCACTGTGAGATCGAAACACCTGCATTTTCACACGTCTACTGTGGTAGACACAGGCAATAAAATAATCGATTCAATGAAAAGGGGACTTTAATGGGTGTGTTTATTTCCCGTAAAAATACCGCCTGAAATTCTTTATTCGAGATTGTGAAGGTGCAGTCATTATTTTATAGCTCCTTATTTTTGTTTCATTGTATCGCAAGCAATTGTTGTCTGTATTAGACTTTTCATGAAGATCTCAGAGTCGTTAGTCTTATGTATCGTCGCAGCAACTATCGATTGATATGTACCACTTATGAGAAGATATAAACGAAAATATTATATTCCTCATAATTTTAACAAATAATCAACGTTGTTAAAGACTCGTCGTCGGATTATTTTCTTACGCAGTTGCAAATACGTGACTATTGTGATTTAAAATTTCTTGCAGAGAATAATTGGAGAAGAGTATGTATAGAGAGAGGGAGAGAAAGAGAGAGAGAGAGAGAGAGAGAGAAAGAAAGAGAGAGAGAGAGAGAGAGAGAGAGAGAGAGAGAGAGAGAAAGGGAGAAAGAGACAGAGAAATATGACACATGTATTCTATGCTGTTGAACACTATCTCTAAACGGCACAAACTAGGAAATCTAAGGTACCGCGTAAGAAATGAACCTTTTTACATGTCTTGCACTCATTTTCCACTGAATTCGAGATTGCGAAAAATTAAGAAGAACAAATACATAAAATGCTATTACGCTCATATATTTAATGGTTTTAAATCACTTTTCGTCACGTGAAAATTTGTTAATCTGTGGTGCAGTGTAATAATTAAAAATTAACCTACTAACTTTGGATTTAGTCTCACTAATTTTAAAAATTCAAGTTAAAGCTTTTAGTGACTCCTATAAAATGTTCGTAAGCTTAGCACGCTTAAATCACATCTAAAGTATATGAAATATATTTTTCAGTATATAATACATTCGTTTATTATAGACAATGCTGCAAAAATAGTAGAAAAGTTAGACAGATATAAAGGTGAATATTACATCGTTGCTTATTTATAAGTGAACGAGAGATATGGAGAAAATTAACACTGTTTGCACTCACCATATCTTCCATAGTACCGCGAAACGATAGATATCTTTATATCAATGTCGCACCGAACAAAGTACAGTGAAATAAGACATGGAGGTGCTTATCAGCTGTGGCAAAAGATTTCATCTTTTGGAGTAAATGCCTTAAGAAAATAGGAGTCAAGCAGGATGATTGTGAATAATTATTTCTACAGTAGAGTAATTATTTCGACTTAATATCGACGATAATTATTTTGTACTTTAAAGTACAAAATTGTTGAAAATACTGGAATTTAAAAAATTTGTTTTATATTTTTTTCAAATACTCAAAGCATACACCATAAAATAATATTTACACATGTTGAAGACAAAATTTCTCCTTACGTAAAATATTTCGTCGACATTATTTTTCTTCAGCAAAAATTATACGCAATCATCATTCCTGCTCTCGTTGCTTTCAGAAATTTATCTCTGATTGCAAAGGGCGGAATATTTTTACAGCTTTAAATATTACTTTATTTTGTTCATCTATCGTATTGTTTAGTTGAGCGCGCTATGTCAAAAATGGTAAATTCTAATGCGTGATTTGTTACTTACTGTGGCGGAACTTTCTAAACATGCCAAGAATAATCCACCGATCATCAAGTTGAAACCTTTCGTACCTCTTTGCAACAAAAATAATATCATATTTTGTACACATAAAGAAGTTGTATACCACCGAGTGTTGTATCTGCGAAGGAGAATAATGATTCGTCGAGAAGTAAGAGAATGCACAAATAATCGTTTGGTACAAGTGCATTTGTTTGGTAAATAGTGTAAATCACTAGCAACACTTCGTCAATTGAATGCATATACGTAATCATAAAATTGTAATGTAAAATTAAAATTATTAACTCCTTACACGGTTATAAATATCTCGTTACAGTGATTTAAAACTTCTTGCGCGAAATAGTTGATTATGAATATATATATAAAAATGATAGATACAATTGTAGAATGTAATATAAACTCTTCGACATTGCCATCAAACGACACAACCTGAAAAATCTAAGACACTATGATTACATAAAACTCTTTTATGCATATGTATATGTTGTATGTTACATTTAATTTATATCGCATCACGAACAGTTAATAAGAAGAATTTAGTGCGAAATTGATTGTTGAATTGATTGATTATTGAATAATTATCATTAATTCTGGACGTATACCATTCACTCAAGAATTTATATGTTTCCTATTTAGGATTTTCCTAGATTCGCGTATATTATAAGAGATTCCGAGGCGTTGAAATAATATGTCCAAAGAAAACTTACTCGATAAAAATTGAGACTTAAGCTAACTACGCTGATTATTATTATACAAAAACCCGTATACTCGAGGGTAGAAATAAAGTCTCCGGTCAGCCTTTAAACAAAAGAAAACAAGATTATGTGTACATTATACATATATTAGCGAAAATACCAACTTCATAGCTTTGCGATGAATGTCCACAGCGTGAATTATTTTACTACAGATAATAATTTCTTTCTTCAAATCAATTTTTTGCGGAATATAAATATCCATTGCATGCTCGATACGGTAGCTGTAAATAATTTTTATGCTATACTACAATCTATTTAAATTTATCAATAACGAATAAAATAAATAAAATGATTTCTTACTTACAATTTTGATAACCATATTATTTTTTGCATTTTCTTACCTGGCGATTGTAAACATTCCGCAAATACATTTAATATATGCTATAAATAACGTTCCAGCCGCTAATATTATAAATGTTGCTACACAAACAGTCACGTTTATGTGCAGAGTAATTAAATATAAATATTTTTCTTCGTCAACAAAGTATTCAGTTATGATGTACATTTCGTGATACGATTCAGAAACATTTATGAACGGTAGAATGTTCAATATGCGTGGCCACCATGGCTGCATAAAAACAATAAAGAAGCAGCACATGCTAAACACTATAGATAATAAAAAAAATATTCGTGTCAAAACAACTATTTCTAATTGCCTACCTGCACCTCTCGAAGCATAGTATAATTAAATGTTTTAATATATTTGGTCTTTTAATCATTATTATCCTATGGCGAGTATTATTGAATTTGTAATTTGCAAAATTTGTAATTAATAATTACCATACCTGTACAAGCAAACTGATAGCATCTTGCGTTATATCCATATCTTTCTAAAATAGCAATTTCATGGTCATCTTTTATTGTATTAAAAATACATTGAAGTTGATCCAAAAAAGATCGTATCTGTTAGGTCAACGTTATCTTATATGAATTTTCATTGGTAAATTTCAAACGCAATCCACTCCATATAGAAATTTATTCAAAGAAATATTTGTGTTAATGCATGTTTATTAATACAGTGCATTAATTATGATTAACGATTGATTTCATTAAACTTACGATGTGTTTATTAATCTGCAATGAATTATATATAATTATATATATACAGGAGAATAATATTACTGATAGAATTTTGATGACACGATCAGGAATATTCTTTGTAGTCAAAAATGGTGTAAACTGCAAACAACGAACGTATTGAAGAAGTAGCACCGAATGGTTTTTATTTCTATTATTTTGAGGATATATATTAATGTAAAAATTCTTTATCAAGGTTGGATTCGATTGGCAAATTGTGTCTGGAATTGTTAACGGTTTTTCCTTGCACATATTAACATCACAAGGAATTTATATTTCTAATTATGTTTCCATATATCGTTAAAATCTCCATGATCTTATAGCTCACATTAAATGATTACATTTTTACACGGTTAAAAGTATCGACATACCTGCACTACTATGATGCTTACCAGAAGAACATAACACAAGATTACTTGAAGTGAAATGAACTTCGACTGTTTATAAGGCCACATTCCAACTGCAAGCATAAGTACTCGACTGATGTTCAAATACTGAGTTTCAAGGCAGATCATCTTCCTTCAAGTATAGAAACGTGTTTGACCGAGAGAGTGTCCGCGAAGGTTCGTTCATCCTTACTTTTCGTACAAACGACTAAATATTTCACGTAATATCCTTTCTTTAAGATAAGTTCTACTATAAATCACCTAATTTGACTCAAATGAAACGCAAATACTGCAAAATATCACCGTGAGTTCGAGACAGCTGCATCTTTATGTGTTCGCTGTAATAGAGACGGGCGATTGAGTGAATGATTTGACGAAGGGAGAATTCTAATGATTGCGCTTATTTCTCATAAGAAAAAAAAAACATTAAATTCATCGAACTGTGAAAGTATAGTTGTTATTCTATAGCTATTCTATAGCTTCGCATTTTCGTACATTGCTGTAGCACGAACACTCGATACTCAAGTTCTCACGGAAATATGACAGTCTCTAGTCTTATTTAATACTGCATCAGCTATTGCATCAACAATCGTCCATAAAATATACTAAATTTATATTTTTGTCGAACTTATATCTGTGTTTGTCAAAATTAGATCTATTTTGTAATTGCTTCTCTAATATATTCGCTTTCAAGTATTTCATTTTTTTCTTGCAACTAAATGTGTGGCACAAGCTAGCCATAATTTGACACGTATAACATTGATAAAAGTAGAATATTATCAAATGTTCAAGGTTCTCGCGATTTAGAAGCTTCCTGTGAACACATACTGGTAAACCGATCGTTGAGTTTCAATCTACATGTTCGTATCATGTATATCGAATTGACAACTATGAAATAATCATCGGTTATATGCGAGGAATCTTTAATTCTGTGATGAAGGACTTACAAGTAATGTTTATTACATATTCCAAAGTTTGATGCATATTTGAATCATTAAAAAAGGGAGGATATATTTCTTTCTTATTATTCATTTTTTTTGTTATAGGCAGCGCTATAAAAATTAATGAAGAGTAAATGAATATTTTATATCTTGTATAGCTTTATTTGTTGCTGTTGAACGAGAGAGGCGACGAAATTCAATATCGCTTATATTCACCACATGTGTTATTATATGTCGTGAAACGGTAAATCGTCATGTCAATTACACGAGTAGGCCACAGAATCATGAAGTAAGACATTAAGACACTTATTTGAATTTACTGACTATGAAAAAGATTTTAGCCTTTGTATTGTCCGCTCACACGCTGACGCTGAGATGCACTTAATATGTGATTTGTTATTTATTGTGACAGTTCTTTTCTAAGGATGCCACCAATATTTATAGTAAGCTTTTGTGCCCTTTGCAACAAAAACAGTATCGATCTCCATACATGCAAAGGAGCTTTACATACCATTGGGTGTTATAAAAGTAAAAATGTGGTATTCAAATATTCGGTTTCAAAGAAAATTATCTCTCTTGAGTATTTAGCCTGTCAGCGAGGGTTCGTCCATCTCTTCTCTTCGTCCAAAACTAAATATTTCATATAGTACCCTTTCTTCAACGTAAATTTTACTGTAAATCATCTAATTTAACTCAATTAGAACGCAAGGTGCCGTTAAATGTCACTGTGAAATTGAAACACACGCATTTTTCCGCGTTCGCTGTAGTAGAGATAGACGATTAAATAATCGATTAATTTAATGGGCGGACTTATTTTCTATAAAAAATGCCGCCAAAAATTTTTTATTCGAGATCGTGAAGATGCAGTCGTTATTCTATAGCTTCGTATTTTTATACATTTCATTGTATCGCGAATAATCGTTAGTTGTGTCAGACTTCATGGGGATGTCAGAGTCGTTACTATCGATTAATGTGTACCACTTATGAAAACATACATATGAAAATATTATATTTTTCATAACTTTAATAAATAGTCAACAAGAAAGAGGAGAAAATTCTATATTATTTATACCCATCACATACCTCCCCATGTGCGATGAAATAATAGATCTTGGCGTCAATTCTGCGTAGAACATAGAACAGTGAAGTAAGACATGGCGGCACTTATTAACTGTGTATAAGAGCTTTTGATATTTATAATGTTCGCTCAAATGTGTTACATCGAAAATTCGCGCACTGATACATGTTTTATTATTTACCGTGGCGGTACCTTCTAAGGATGCCGCGAACAATCCACCGATATTCAAGGTAAGAGTTTTCGTGCCGTTTTGCAACAGGAACAGTATCATTCTCTGTATATACAACGGAGTTGTGTACCACTGTATATTATACCTACAAAAAAAGTGATAATTGGATGGGATTGATGTAAATGGATAAGTAACGTTTGCTTCGTAAGTAATGTCTGCAGTAATTGTAAGCTTATAATATGATTGTTTTCTTACACAGCAGCGAATACTTGATTATTGTGATCTAAAATTTCTTGCGCAAAGTAATTGGATACTAATATGTACATAAAAATGACGCCGGTAAATATATAATGCACTATCAACTCCTCGACACTGCCTCCAAATGACATAATCTGGAAAATCTATGATACCATGATTGTGGAATAAATTCTTTCATCAATTATGCATGTGTGTTACATTCATTTTACACAAACAAGTACAAGAATTAAATCGCGGAAACAACGAAACGAAAAATATACGCTTGTATGTCAAATCTGTTTTGTCGTATAAATATTATTTAATCCTGATGGCGGTAGCAATTATTAATTGCCGCATTAATTCCGAGTTTAGTCTCGTTGATTCTGGGAATCACTTAAAGCCGAATTCTGCAGATCTACAGAATTCTATAAATTACATGTATCTGTTTTTATATGTATTTCATTTTGGATTTTGTTATTGCATGAGATAATGATGTATCCAAATGATGTATCCGACAAAAAATTAATTCTTACCCGATAAAGATTGAGACTTAAGGTAATCACACCGCACGTCATTATACAAAAAAACGATCCTTCAAAAGAGGCAAGTAAGAATTTGGTAAACCTTCACAAAAAGAAACAAACATTATTGTATGGAACACTGTACACATACAATGGAATAAATACCAACGTCATTGCTTTGCGATGAATATCCACAGCGTGAATTATTTCATTATGAATCATAATGTCATCTTTTACATAAACAATACATGCAATATTAATCTCCATTGCCCGCTCAATGCGGTAACTGTAATCAATGGTAGTTACATAATATGATCGATACAAATTCATCAAAGGCGAATGTTGCGTAATTATAATTCAATACTACATTATTTTCTTCCTTTTCTTACCTGGCGATCCTAAATATTCCACAAATACATTTTGCACATGCTATCAGCATTGTTCCAGTCGCTAATAGCACAACTGTTCCTAGAGAAATAACTATATTCATATGCAGCATATTTATATAAAAATATCTCTCTTTATCGATAAAGTATTCAGTTATAATATATGTTACGGGATGTGGTCGAGAATTATTTACGAGCAAAATAATATCAAGGAGGTATGGACACCATGGCTGGGCAACAAGAATAACCACGCAGCATATGCCAAACACTAGGAATCACAAAATAACATTCGTTTGAGTTGGTACTTTCAATTAGCCTAAATATGGAATTGCTACATTAAAATCTTATACATTTCGTATTTATTTATTTTGTAATCACCATCATTACGTCCATTGTTGATACAAAATATTTCAAGTGTCTTTATAAAATGTCTTTATAAATTTAAATTTCTTTTCGCTTGTAACAATTATGAAAGTTATCATCAGTAAGTAGGATACTTATTTTTATATATCTTTTAGATTATATACACATGTGCATGTACATTTTATTATGTTTCATTTTAAGTTCTAGTAAAAATATGATGCTATATACACGTGCAAAACGAGTTAGCTGATCATTTAATTTTTATCGCGAATGAATTTTGGTCCATTTTATAATTCATAAAAAAGATAACAGAAGATATCTTACATATAAGCACAGCCGTATACAATTTTGCTTTACTGCCATAATTTTGTATGATAGCGATTTCATTCTCATTTTTTAATTCATTGTAAATATACTGAAATTCCTCCAAGAAATACTTCACCTGTTATGCGGATAACATTATATATCACTTCTCTTTGTCAAATTAAAGAAAAAGGTTTAAATATATTTACAAGGATATATTTACAAGCAAAATAAAGTGTATAATTAAGAGAACAATTTAACTTAACTTACGGATTGGTTGTTAAACCAAAACGAGTTGTAAATAATCACATATAGAAAAAAAAACATTGTTTCAGAAAGAACATCAATGACAAATGTAAAAGTGCTTTCTACAGTCAGAAAAACTGTAAACTGTGAAAATAATAAATTAATTATAAAAGTGGTACCAAAAAGAGCATCTACATTATTTTATATAATTTTTTATTTATGGCGAAAAATGCAAATTTAAAATTATTAATTGCTTCTATGCATAAAAGTATCGTATAAATTGTCTTTATAATTATATTTCAAAACATCAACTAATTAAAGATATCTTAACGTAACAATTAAAAATACTCATAGCTATATAATTAATAATTAAATAATTATATTTCTACACGAGTAAAGATAAACGATAACTGCAAAAGCGGTATAATGAAGTAACGTATTACATAATTACATAACTCAATAAAAAATACCGACATACCTGAAATATTATCATGCTTATAAAAATACCGTAAAATAATATTATCTGAAGTTGAACGACTTTCGATTGTTGATAAGGCCACATTCCAATCATGAGCAAAAGTATTCGATTCATGCTTAAATACTCCGTCTCAAAGGAGATCATTTCTCTCGGAGCATCGAGACGCGTTTGACATAAGAATATCCACAAAGGTTCGTTCATACCCTCTTTTCGTTTAAGTGAACAAATATTTCATATGATATTTCCTTCAACATAAATTCCACCGTAAATTGTCTAATTTAATTCAAATGGAACATAAGATGCCGTGAAATGTTACCCTGATATCAAAATATCCGTATTTTCATACGTTTGCTATAATAAAAACGAGCAGTTAAGCGATCGATTCAACGAAGATAGAGCTCTTTAATGGATGTGGTTATTTCCCATAAAAAATACCACTTGGAATTTTTTACTCTGACTCGTGAAAGTGCAGTCATTATTCTATAGCATGTTCATACGTTTCATTGTAGCGTTACGTTAGACTTTTTATGAAAGTGTCAGGGAGGGAGTCTTTAGTCTCACACAATGCCGGACCGATTCGATTGATCGTAACTATGATGATGTGTATCACTTATAAATAAAAAAAAAGAAGAAATATGAAAATCTCATTTTTTTCACAATATTAATTAATAGAAAGGGAAAAAATTATAGTCTTTACGCTCACATCACGTGTGCGACAGAATGATAGATGCTTGCGTGAACGCTGCGTAAAATATAAGACGGTAAAGTGAGACGATATTTTGACCGATATTCAGAGAAAGAGAGAGAAATTTCCGTGATCTTCTGCAACAATTGATATCCTTTTCTAGGTATGTTGTATATAATGTATAATTACAAATCCAAATATCTATATTATTTTTTCCTTTCTTTACCAAGCGAACCTAAATATTCTGCAAATATTTTAACGCATGCTATCAATATTGTTCCATTCGCTATTATCACAAACGTTTAACATAAAATGTTTGTATGCAGCAGAATTATATAAAAATATTGTTATTTGTCGACAAAATATCCGGTTATAATAAATGTATACTGTTGATTGTCGATAAAATTGTTATTGTCGAATTACGTCATACAACACGATCAGGCATCAACACGATTTGGTATCTAAAAATATTCTTGTGTTATGTTTGTAAAAATCAACAATACACGTAGCTAAAGAAGAGCTATTTTATTTGAATGAGCACAGATCTACAATTGGTTTTTATATTCACCAGAAACTAATTACACTGAAAAAAGTAATGTAAAAGAAAATGAAAAATGAACTTTGATGATAAAATCAGAGAAATGCATATTACGTTTAGAAACTTGATGAAAAAGTTAAACTTATTAACAAAATAACACTCAAGGAGTTAATTCTTTATTTATTGAGCAAATTTTCACGCACCGTGCAATAACTTACGATGGGTAAAAATTATAAATTACATATACTTAAGAGTAATATCGTAAAATAAAATAAAATACGTTGTATTTCTCATAATTTTACTCATCACAATGAGCGAAGAAGGTTGTCTTTATTTATATTCACCACGTATATTTTTATATGTCATGAAATGATAGATTTGGCGTTAATACTGCGTAGAACATAGAACAGCGAAGTAAGATATAGAAGCACTTATCAACTGTAAAGAAGACTCTTTCAACTCTTATACTTTAAGTTCAAACGTGTAATCCTGAAATTTAGGTATAATGTTTATTACTTACCGTGGCGATACTTTCTAAGGATGCCGAGAACAATCCACCGACATTCAGAGTTAAGACTTTCGTGCCTCTTTGCAACAGGAACAGTATCATTTTCTGTATGTACAAAGGAGCGGTATACCACCGAGTGTTATATCTGACAGAAGATGAAAATTTGTCAAAAATGCGAAGAAGATGTTACGTTCAACGCGCATACATTTGCTTTGCAAGTCGCAATTAACTGCCAAACCGGTAGTTTTGTTCCGCAAAACGAATGCATTTACGTGGTTAAAGACTCGTCGTCGGATTATCTTCTTACACAGTTGCAAATATGTGACTATTATGATCTAACATTTCTTGTGCAAAATAGTTGGATATGAATATGTAGACAAGTATAATGCATATAGCTATTCCATGTAACATCAGCTGCTCAACACTACCTCCAAACGATATATATTGGGAAATCTAAAACATCGTAAGAAACGAATCCTTTTACATTTTGTACTTATTTTACATCGAATTTGGGATTGTGAAAAATTAAAAAGAAAAAGTATATAAAATAATATATACATATATATTTAATAGTTTTGAATATAATCGTTTTTTGTCGTGTGAAAATTAGTTAATCTGTAAGTCAGTATAACAATTATAAATTATCTCACTACCCATATAGCACGTAATATTACGTAATATTATGTGTTATGTGGGTAATTCCGGATTTAGTCTCAATTAGTTCTAGATATCCGGCCGTCTAATGTATATTTTCCTGATTTTTTAAAATTACATACATATATTTTCTTCTTTACAGGTTTCTTAAAGTTAGTTGTTATAAAAAGTCACAAAATATTTCCAAATATGTCCAAAAACGAAGCAAAACTTACTTGAAATAAATTAAGACTCAAACAAGTCACACAAAACATAATTGTACAAACAAATGATCCCTCGAAGTTAGAAATCAAAGACTTGATGATCCTTCAGAAACAAATATATGTTATTACATATTTATATGTAATAAATAGTATATATATATATATATATGGGAAATAAACACTAACATTGTAGCTTTCCGATGAATATCCACAGCATGAATTATTTTATTATAAATCATAATGTCATTTTTTAAATTAACTGCAATATTAATCTCCAATGCCTGCTCTATGCGATAACTATAATCAATTTTTACGATTAATATAAAGTCTATGCAGTCTGTCAATAAAGTCTGTATAGATTTATCAAAGACAATAAAAATGATATTGTATATTTGTAATAATTATATTATTTATTATTTCTTTACCTAGCGATTTTAAACATTCCGCAGATACATCTAGAACATGCTAGAAGCATTGTTCCAGTACCTACTAATACAAACGTTCCTAAGCAAAAGACTACATTTACGTGCAGCAAAATTAAATAAAAATACTTCTCTTTATCGACGAAGTATTCAGTTATAATATACACTGAGCGATATGGTTGAGAATCATTTATGAGCAAAAAAGTATTCAGAATGCATGGTATCCATGGTTGGACAATAGCGATAAGTAGGCAAGATACGCCTAACACTACGGATATTTAAAGAAACATTCGTGTAAATAGTTACTTTAACCACCATATCAAATGTTTTGCATTATATGCTTAAGGGATATATACATGTAAAAGGTAGCATATAAATTATTCAATTTTTGCAACATTTGTATTTTACTCTATTTTGCAACCTATGAAAAAATAACTAATATCTTACGTGTGAACGCAGCTGTACAGCGTTTTGCTTCATATCCGTAACTTTCTATGATAGCGATTTCATTCTCATCTTTCAATTCATCATATATATATTGAATATAATTCAATAAATGTCTCACCTGTTACGTCAATAATATTTTGTACCATTTCCCTTATTAAATTGGGAAAAGAATGTTTTCTATGTAAAAATTTATTACTGATATATTACTGATGTGCGTGTTTAAAAAAGAACGCGTTTGTAAAGAAAGAGTATAATGAACATGCAGATAATTAACCGATCGGTTTGACGTAACTCACAAATGATATGTTAACCCAGAATGAGTTATAAAAAATCACATACAGACAAAAATATAATACTGCAGATAGATTTTTTATAAAGAAGTTAACGGTACATTCTGTAGTCAAGAATGCTGACAACTGCAAATAATAAACATATTCAGATAATGACACTAAAAAAAGTTCATTGACCTAAATAATTTTTTATAGATTGGCGAAATTTCGAGCTTCTATATAAATTATTAATCCTTTTTCGACGCACAATAATAACACAAGAAGTTTACATTTATAATTCCTCTATATTATTATCTAAAAATGCTTATATAATTAACATTAAACAACTATGTTTACAGATAAAAGTAAATAATTATTGCAAAGGTGGAAGTGAAAAATAGCATTTGATATAATTATTATAAAAAAATATCAATATACCTGAACTACTATGATGCTTATCAAAATACCGTAACACAAGATGATCTGAAATTGAACTAATTTCGATTGTTGATAAGGCCACATGCCAATTATGAGCAGAAGTATCCGATTGATGTTCCAATACTCGATTTCAAAGCAGACCATTCTTCTTTGAGTATCCAAACGAGTTTGACCACTAAAGTGTCTGCAAGGGTTTGTTCATTTCCCTCCTTTTCCTCAAGAAATTAAATATTTTATGTGGTTTCCTTTATAAACGTAAATTCTACTATAAATTCCATAATAAACTACTTAATTTCATTGAGACGCAAAATGCCGTGAAATGTTACCGTGAGATCGGAACATCTGTAATTTTCATGTGTTTGCTAATATGTAGATGGTTGATTGAGTGATCGATCCAGTAACGAGAGAACTTTATATAATGGATGTACTTATTTCCCATAAAAAAATATCTCTTGGAAACTTTCTTCGATCGAAGTCAAGGTGCAATCATTACGACTTCACATTTTCTTATATTTCATTGCAGCATAAGTACTCGTTGGTTACATTAGACTTCTTATAAAAGTATTATAGTTATAGAATAGAAGTGTACGTTATTTCATAGTTGTTAGTCTTATATACCGTCCCACCGACTATGGATTGAACGTCTCAGTTAAGTATACCGCGCCACATTGTCGAAAATACTTCTGTTCAATGTTTCCTCCATATTTTTTCTGCAGCTTTATCCGTAACTCAGATGAATTCTCATCTTTATTAAACACATTATATTATAAACTTTTCGAGTGTGTGATTGATTCTTCACTCACTAATCTCTAATCTATCTATTTCTCCAATAAAAAAATTTTGGTAATACTCACAATTAATTTTGACATCTTTTAATTTTAATATATTAATGTCTTTGTAAAATTGTTTTCAAATTATTAATATTAACGTTCTAGCACTGTAGAGAACAAACACAATTAAAATTATGTCATTGATGTCAACTCGAAGTAAAACATGATTAGATCGATGGAGCGAGACGACATCAAACAAATATTTCAAGACTATCTAATTTAAGTTTATCTCAAAAATGTTCAGCTTCTCGATTTATCTCTTACGAGCACGATAACTCTAGCAGCTATCGTTCAAATTGACCGGAAGCAATGCGGGAAAATAAAACGCAATTTTCTTCGCTGACTGTTACACCCCACCCAGCTGCTGCCGTGTATCCCTGCCGTGTCTTTGAAAGTTTCGTCCGTCGTGATTTATAAACCCACACGATGCCGGATCCGCACGGACTCGTCAATCCAATTTCTTAACGATGGACGGTTGTGTTTAGAACTAATTTTCATGTCTCAATATCAATGTCAATTAACTGTGCGAACGCATATTAAATCATTATTCGTTTCTCCGCGAATGCCAGTGCGCGCGATAGCTGGGTAGTAGAGATACGAAATTGTACTTATATACTTACTTTATATAAAATTGAATTGTCGTATACTGAGAATCGTGATATAATATTATCCTTGAGATGAAAATCATTCCTGTGCACTCAGTGTGTTCTCCGACTCGCGGAATATGCGCGACAGCATTCGTCAGGTTTCTTTGCTATAAAAATATAAAAGAGAAGGAAAGAGCCAATTGTAAGTCTAATTTATATGTGTTTATAATAACATTCCGATATTAAGGCACCTGTGGTATATTATAAATATATGCAAATTAGACCTGCAGTTGACTCTTTCGTATATAATGTCGATATGATATATCGTCCTTTTTTATTATTCTAGGAGAATTTATATTAGTATTTTCGATTTGAATCAAAGAGCCTTATCATTTATTTGTATTTTTTGTTGACATTTCTCGATGAGGGACTCGCCCAAGAAGTAAAGACCATACAGATCATACAGGGGATACTTTGTCAAGATCGGTCGTCTTCTTTATATCAAAGGGGGCACATGTATTGCACAATCAAAATTGTTAAACACAATTCGCTATAATGGATTACATTCGAGTCTAAATTGCATTTGAGTTCTAGCTATCTGTTTGAATGACGGTAGATAGGAGACTGTCAACGCTCTATCAAAAAATTTTTTTAATAGAAATGGTTATATGATGTGATAAAAAGGCGGATATTATGAATACTTCAAAAGCATTGAAGAAAATTTTAACGGAGGGTTGACGGAATTCTATTTACCGCCGTCTAGATGAATAGTACGAATAGTACGAATTTAGCTTTACACGGGCATATATGATAATCGATCTTTTGGATACATTTTTTATGTATAATGCAAAAAAAATTATATATAGCATATAGAATAACAAAAATAAAATAAATGTTGTACCGCGTGATACCGCTCAAGATATACTGTTTCAGATATAATTCAACGAGAGAAAATCGAAAAATTTAACGCGGTAGCGAATATTAGGGTCGACCCTTCTTCCAGTTTGTTTTAGGAGAAGGAAGACGAAGTGAGAGGTAAGCCATTTCGACGTTAATGTTGAATTTATTGACGCAAAGGAGATTATTGACGTAAATTAAATATGAAAACTGCCACGGATGCTATGAATATTTAATTAAATCATTAACCTTCATCCACACCCTCCCCAGGTGACATTTCACCCATGACCTTCGGCATGTACTAAAGCTGTTCTATCGGTGAAAGCAAGCACGCGACTCACCTACGACAGCGAAACCGCTTTTTTGTCCCAGCTGTCGATAGCAAACGAGCTATTCGTCACATAAGTCCTTGATAGTAGTTTATTAGATAACATAGATTGGTAGAGCACGCATTGAAGACTTTCTTTTCGATTCTTAGACAGCGACATGCGTATTGATGAATTCGATTGGTATAACATCACGACGAAACTTTCGAAGACATGGCAGGGATACACGGCAGCAGCTGGATGGGATGTGCGAGCGCTATTCCGTTTGTTTCTACGCCTTCTTCTTGGTGTTCTTCGTGGTCTTTGCGGAAGTGGCCTTCTTCTTCGTCTTCGTCGTCGTCGTCGTTGTCGTCGTTGTCGTCGTCGTCGTCGACTTCCCAGCCTTTTTGGCGTATTTGTCGATCAAGGAGTCGAAGAAACTGTCCGATTGACTAGCACGAGCTCTGTTGCGATTCTGGATCACTAGCGCAAGATCATTCGCAGCTGCGTTCTCCTCGTTCTCGATCTTCAACATCTTCTCCAGGCGCTCGGCTTCCGCCGCCTCCCTGGCCCACTGCAATCAGAGAAGCCAATCGAGAGCAATTAGCGCCAAAAGGCCGATGGCTGTTTACTATCCAACTCGCGTCGGATCTAATGTAGCGGCGACTTAGCCGGTTTAACTCGTATAACTCCGATATATAATTCGATCCAGACATGCCGCGCCGCGGAGGAGATGCCGATTTTACGGCCTGATAATGGCCGTTCACGACGTACAAGTGCGTTCCTGTTAACGGGATTGATTGCAACCCGCTTATAACGCAAAGCGAAAACGCAATCTGCGTCATTATCCTATTTCCGAAACGCGCGCCACGCGTCGATTCTCGAGTTTATCGCGCGCACACGCGACTCGCATATAGATGAGGAACGAGCGTCTCTTCCTCTCTCTCTTTTCCTTTTCCTCCTCCTCCTCCTCCTCCTCCTTCTCTCTTTGTCAAGTATGTTGAAGCAGGTTAATTTTAAAGGAGGGGGTCATCGATTCTATCGGGCGAGCAACCGGATATGCATTGCTTACGAGCGCGGCTTAGATGGATAAACGAAGGCACGATGCCAACTTGTGGTACAACGATCGCCCGTTTGAAACGACGAGACTCTGAGATTTACGCTGGCAGTCGGTTAGAGGATATATTCACAAACCCTCCGCTCGCTTTCACAAGAGTCGGTAAACTTATAAACGAGTGAAAACGGCCCCGAGAGGAATCAATCGAAATGCCGCTTTTGACAGAAACAATATCATATAGACGTAATATAGATTATCGCGTTGACGTAAGAAAATGTTGCGGAAAATATCGTCCATATATTGAGATATTGAGATGTCCAGATGTTGAGAGATACCGTTGGCTGTTAGGCGGCTGAAATTGCGAAAAATAATTTCGAGGCGCTCGAATTCGTAGATATCGAATGAGAAGCATAGTAGAGAGCGAGCGCGTCATTCGGCGCATTTGAAGATGCTCGAGATGACATTTATCGCGTAACCCGACTTGAAGTTATCGCGACTTGAGGACGAAACCGGATCGAACAAGTTTGAATAAACAACGACAGAATTGAAAATTGCACATCGTGTTTCTCAATAATTACACGGACGTTTGCGTGTTCGAAGGAAGGAAGGAAGGAAGTGCACATCTTTTGACTTCGTTCCTTAATGTGCGGGCACATTGTCCCGAGATTCGCTCGCTCGCAGTCGCGCGCTGCAAGGTCTCGCATTTTCGGCAATGATGCGCCACCACAGGTACACAAGCGTCGATGACGCTTCATATCTGGCGTGACCTACTCCATAATCCGTAGCTGAAGAAATTCCGTTATTTATAATTTCTGGCAAGTACGTTTAACTGGCTGCCTCCTAATACCGGCGCATTGCACAACGCATTCGCGGAACTCCGAGCGCGACGGACGAGACGGATTCGTCAGCGGTTATAAACTAGAGAGGGACGCATTACGTTCGCCTCGGAGTCGGAGGCATGGAAGTTGCAGATACTTCGTCTGCGTATCAACAACAAACAACAAGCGGTAATACCATGCGGACGAAACGGACCACTTCTATTTTAACATTCCTCTCTCTCTCTCTCCTTCTTGAATGACAATAGAGTTCTCTTCCTCGGTATCTTGCGTCTCTCATCTGTCGGATTACGCCAACTTTCGCGATTGCATCGAAAAGCAGTCGCGCCAGCGAGTGCACACATGAGGGCTGCATTATTATCCGCACAAAGAATTTCCGCTATCGACATACGTCGCGTCAGGTGTCATCGAGGGTGTCATCGTATACATACATCTGACTGAATCGAAGACGGAAGCCTCTGGCGCGACCTTGCAACGCGCGCGGTTGGCGTCTACATCGATCGGAATGCTTGGCGTCGTGCCTCGAGCTTAAGGAAATCAAGTAGCTTAATAATTGAGAACAGCCAATCGAACAGCCGCGATACAGACGGCGTGAAACCGCGCGTTTCACCACGGGATACGTGTCATCGCCATGGAATTCCGTTAATGAAGAATTGACACGGCGGGATTGGGCTCGCTTGCTCGCTCGCATCGCGACGGAGGCACATGCGCGCGAGATGAAGATCAGCTCCGGCCCTTTTCGTTTATAATAACGGATCAGAACGCGAGCTTTCAATCACTCGACAAGGTCATGGTATATGATGGTCTCCGAGAACATCTCTGTTACAGATGCGCCCGAGAGATACATCGAGATATGTAGAATGCGACAAAGGCCACGTTACGAAAACGTCCCAAACTAGAGATAATTCTTGAAAGTGTGCGAGATAAACTCGCACGATATAATCAGCGACGGGCCTCGAAAAGCGTCGGAATCATTTTGTATTCGCACAATGAAAGTCCGGGATCTTCTCGGACCTGTTATTCAAATTTCAGGTATTATAAGAAGAATGCTCGAGAAGACTTGAAAAGTCATGAAAATTAAAAAAATCTTGAAAGTCTCTTGAAACTTTTAACATATTTCTTAAAACTTTTGTAAGAGAATTTTTGATTTCATACAATATCATATGCAAAGATCCAACTTTTTACCATCCGAAAACTTTCGAGACGATGATTCGCGAAAACCTAAATCAATTTCACTGAATAATAATCTCACACATACGCGCGCATTTAACATCATCCTTACATGTATATCTACGTGTGACTCGCTGTCAATAATTTATCTTCCGTCACATAAAAATTCAAATTTTCAGGGAACCTTCGGTTTCGAATAAAACTCGGAGAGATCGGTATCATTTTCGTGCGATCCAATTGTTCGTGAAGCCTCAAGAGAGGCGCTTTTTCAAGAACCATTGCTAACGCTTTGTCTTCTCTTTCTGGCGCAAGCGATCTCTCGGGGATCTCGTGCGGATGCACCTGTTACACGAAGAATGAAGTAGGAAGCTGTCGCGCGAACTTGACTTCGAAACACAGTGATGCCTTTGAGTGTATATTTAACACGTTTGCGCGGAGTCGAGTCGAATAGCGCAAGGTCGTTACGTAACACGACCGCGCGCGATTGAACGATGACACTGGTAATTATTTCATTACCACGCAACGACGATCGAGCCAGCCAGTTAATTGCGATTAAAATCCCGGTTCGATATGACGCCATCGTCGGCGTTCTCACACACGCGGCGGACGCATCGCGCGATACATCATTATATATGCGACGCATATAACTGCGACGTCTCGGATTGATTCCTGGTAACGAAATCGCGTCCGATCGAAATATTACATCAAAGATCCTCTAAATTTAGCGACCAACAAACTTCAGAGGGGCTCGCGGCGCCGGCTTATAACTAACGAGTGTGTAGGTATTAATCAATCGTCAAACACACATATACGCACATACACGGACGATGACGGAATTAGAATACGCATTTCTCATTCCTTGCACGCGCGAGGTTTGCAGTTAAATTAAAAACGTTTTCACACACAAACTCTCTTGGACACAAAGTTACTTGGATCGTTTACTATATGGTTCAAGTCGGGAGTGTTAAAGTTAGTTTCAAGGTGTAACTTTATGTTGAAATGACGCACCGTCGAATATCTTATGTTACGCAACTTTTCGCGTATTTTGAAAATTTTATTTTCCCGCAGGATTTCTTTCCCTTCAGGTTTGGAAAACGGAAACAGAAAACTTTAAGGAGTCGTGCGAACTGTTTTGGATATTCCAATATCAACGAGATGCCAATCAAAATATGTTTCAAAGAACACAAAAAATCAAGAGCAATTTCATGCGACATTCGATTCAGAAATAAAGACAGAATACTCGGAGAGAGAAAATTTTAGAGAAATTCCCAATAATTTGCTTCGATAAAATATCCATGAACCTTCATCCAAAGTTCATAAAAATCTCGAAGAAATTTTTATCTTTCCTGGCGTAAAGATGCTCCCCGAAAATTTCAGGATTTCAGAACATCCTTGACTCGCGAAAAATCCTTGACTCGGAGAAAAAAAGAAACGATTGACAAGTTCTTCGTTTCCAACGCACTTCTGAAATGCGATACCTACACACTGGACTCAGCTGACCCCGTCGTTCCCGAGGAACAAGCAGAAGAAGCGCCACTCCGCATCGACCGTCGTCGTTAAATAGTCGCGTGTGGTTAATCGTAATAATCCTACGAAGCGTCGTTAAGGAGATATCTGGATTGCTACACGGGAGAGAGAATTATAACGTTAAATATTAAATGCGCGCTCAGGTCCAAGGATGCACAGCACGACGCGACGCGACGCGACGCGTGACGTCGTCGTCGGATCGGCGAAACGAACTCGATCCTTCCTCTCTCGCGCGGCTTGCTAATTGTTAAAATTACACCCGGCGTACACTGATCCCCGCGCGGCACGTGTTTTACCGATCCGGACGCGAGAACGAAGGAGCCGCGATCTGGGATCGGGACTAAAATTCCGTGACGATGACGTGTCCGAAGATGACGACGACGATGGACATCACTAGCACGGAGGCCGGTCGAACTCGTGGTGACGAACTCTTCGGCGGGCAATCCGGCAACGGCTTATCCGTGGTCATCTCCATGACAGTGGTCGGTTCCTCGTCATCGTCGTGTTCCTGATAATTCAGCGACGGCGGGTGCATGGTGACCGTCGACTCGTAGTACGGCGCTTGGTAGAACTCGCCCGTCGAGACTGGGTGCATCAGCTCCGGCTGCTGCGAGGCCGGCATCGGCATAACGTAATGCATATCTGTCTTGTTGACGACGTCCTGGGCGACGTCGGACGACGTCGTCATGGTCGTACTCGAATGTTCCACTTCGTCGTGCTCGACCGGCAGGTCCGTGGCGATGAAGAAGTCGTCGGTGCTCGACGACCAGCGATCGTCGACGATCACTCTACGGTCAGACGTATAAGCGCGTTGGGTCGGCGACACATGATATGGCGTTTCTTGGCGATCCGTCGGCAACAATGACGACCACTCTCTATGACGTTCTCCGTCTTCCCGTGAGTCGTCCGGACGATACTCCATCGAGTCGTCGGTCGACCAGGTCCGGGAAGTGGCGTCAGGACCATTAGTCGACCAGGACCTTGTTAGTTGCATGGACCCATGAGGTGTCATCTCCTGACCGTTGGACGTTGCGGTATATAGCGGGTACGACACTGTGTCCTCCACGATATGTGACGATTCATCGGACCACGTCATCTCGTTCTCCGGAGATGTTGCTGACGCCGCGATTGGCAGCTCTGTTCTTTGCGTTGTCACAGGCGGATACGGATAGGTGACCAGTTCGTTTGTCGGTGCGTACGGCGGATACGTCAAGGTGTGCTCCGTCAACAATGGTCTATCGGGTCTTACTGTTGACCCGGTGGTGTCCTCCGAGGTTAGCCTCGGCTCCACCAGCAGTACTCGCGACCTCTCCGATGTTGTGTAAGATGGCGGGTTAGAAGACGTGTCATACGTCGGGACATATACCGGGTATGTCAAAGTGTGCTCCGCTGCCGGTGATTTGCCGGTAGTCGCCGTTAACTGGACGTCTTCCGAGGATGGTCCCGAGTCCATCGACGGTGCTCGTGGTCTCTCGGATGTCACGTACGACGGATGAAGCGACGTGATCTCGTGCGAGAACGTGCCTGGAACGTACGAAGGATATGTCGAGACATCTTCCGCCGGCGGTGGTCTGTCGGCTCCCGTTGTTATCTTGGTGTCTTCCAGAGGCGGCTTCGACTCTAACAACGGCGCCCATGGTGTGTCCATCCTTGGGTAAGGGTAAAATACCGCCGGGCGCGACTGTTCCGGTACCTGGTAGGAAGTCCTCGCGCCTCCGGGCGGAGGTATCGGCTCCACTCGCGGTATGTGCGACTGCATGAAGGGGCGCATGGTAGTGCTGGTGGTAGTGGTAGTCGTCGGTTTCCTACGGCGTCCATAATGCTGAGCAGGATGGAACGTCCTGTTTCCCGCTGACGGAGGCACGAACGGTGCTCCTGGTTGCTGAGGAAGTCGCCAGTCCGGCTGCGGTCTCTCCCGATGCGTAGGTACACTGATTTGCTGGCTATCCTGCTCTTCTTCTTCCTCCGTGTGACTAGGCGGCACGTGAATTTCGACCCTGTCGTGAGCAAGTCTTCTCCATTCAGGATCGCGTTCGAAAGTAACACGTTGCTTCTCTAAGAATTCACTGATGGCGTACGGACAAGCGAATTCGGGATTCTCGCTGAGGAACATACGCTTCAACTGTCGCAAGCGCGTCATCCCGTCAAGGTTCAGGCATCGCAGTCGATTCCCGGAGATCCTAAAGTCCACGAGAGCGGGCAGGTTCTGATAGACGCCATCCTCAATGTCGTGTATGTCATTATAATTGACGTCCAAGTAGGTCAAAGAGTCTAGACCCTCGAACCAGGAAGCTTTCACGGCCGTCAGGTGATTATTATTCAAACTCAGCTGCTGAAGATTAACCAGGCGCCGGAATGCGTTCGCCTCAATGTCGCTGATTTCGCAGTATGAGCAACTCAGCACCCAGAGGTTGTGGCCGAACTTGGAGAACGTGTCGGCGGTTATTCGGCGCAACGGCATCCTACTGATCCGCAACTTTTCCGTGGTCTCAGGCATGGCGGCGAGGTCACTAGGGTGGCCACCCTCGCAAAGATACTCGAGCATATCATCATTCGGCACTTCGCGGCACGACGCCGCGACGTTTCCGATGTACGCGGTTAAGAAGGCGATTAACGCCAAAACAAGTGCACTATCCATCTCGCGCAGACCGACGAATACGAATAAAGGAGTGGGGAGAACGAGACGCGGCTAATTTCAATAAATCCTGATAATTAGATGCAGAAAGGAAGAGGATACCGCCCTCCGCGTCTCACTGTTCATTTCGATTTTGGAAGAACAGAAGGAAAAGCGACGACAGTCATCATAAGTGGTCCTCTTTTTTTTTTCTCTCTCTCTCTCTCTCTCACTCGCTCGGATATTACGATTAACGACAAACGGCTCGGACTAATTGTAACACGGACTGAGGCGGCTCTTGCAATCGCAGGTTACTTATTTACCAGACTTTCCCCTCCTAACGGTGCCTTCTCCTACTACCTTCTATTCACCCGCCCGTCTATCGGACTATCTGTCCGTTCGTCAAGCTGTACGGTCTATTGGTAAAAATAGAGAAGCTTGAAAATAGCGCGGCGGGGCGTTAAAAGATCGAAGTAACCGTTTAGCGTGTAGAGGGGATGCTAGGGAGTACGATTTAAAATTCGCGCTACGATCGAAACACGTTCGATCGCAGCACGGAGATCGATACGTAGGTAGTGTGTAAATGCGAAAGGAAAAAGATTATATGGCAGCAAAGTGACGTTCAGCATGCGTAATGCTCTTCCTCTGACCACGTTAAAGTAGCGTCAATCGCTTTATATCCGCACTCGCACACGAACATTCCTCGACATATTAGCTCGATGAATTAAATTAATTTAATTAATGAAAGTTCTTTGCTGGAAGGTACAGCATCAAATCCGGCGTTTACACTGCTATGTCGCATAATGTGATATTATGATAAAAATATAATTGAATAATAAAATTTGCTAATAACGAAGAAAAACATAATTGTTAATGAATTTGTGTGATTAGTATTTTAATATAACATGTCGTACTTAAAGAATGTTTAATATCGTTGATAAAAAAAGAGGAGAAAGTTATACGATTTTTAAAAGAAAATTGTATCCGGAACAGATTATCGTAACGAAGAAAGAAAGTACAAAAAAAAATATATTATATATATTATGTTATATATACAGGGTGTCCAAAACCATCCGTCCACCCCTTCTAAAATCTAGAAAATTAATTTTTTTGGGGATCTGAAAAATTTTTATAGCTATGTCGGGTATGCTCTTTTGATTGGTAATATTATCAACTTCCGGCTCCGACCGGAAGTGGGTTATCCAGACCGGAAGATCGTTTTTTTAAATGGAACATGCATATTTTTATTGCAGATTCCAATTCTACCATAAAAAAACTAATTTGGTTAAAAATTTTTTCGAAACTATTTTGATCTAAATGACCTTTACATAGGCTGGTCGTCGCAGAAATCAAACCGACTAATTATCGAGAAAATAACAGTACTATCGTTGCTGTTTGTCAACATTCATCGTTGTAGTGTTATTTTTTCGACAATTCAGTCCCTGAAATTTAAAGGGGTTTCGTGCGGACCGGACTCAAGCTCTAATGTAAAGGTCATTTAGAGGTCAAAAATAACGTTTTCGAAAAAAATTTTTCAAACCAAAATTACGTTTTTTTATGCGTAGAATTGGAATCCGCAATAAAAATATGCATATTCCATTTAAAAAACGATCTTCCGGTCTGAATAACCCACTTCTGGTAGGAGCCGGAAGTTGATATTATCACCAATCAAAAGAGCGTACCCGACATAGCTATAAAAATTTTTCAAATCCCCAAAAAAATTAATTTTCTAGATTTTAGAAGGGGTGGACGGATGGTTTTGGACACCCTATATATTTTTATACATATACATACACTATATATATATATATATATAACTAGCAATAAAATATTAAATGAATAGATCTTATATCTTTGATTATTTATAAAATTAATCATAGAATATAAATAAAAAATTATTATAGAAAAATTGAATGATCAATAATCTCTCGCATAACGGCCGTCGCCGTTGTGCGAGAGATTATTAGAAATTATACAAATTAATGTTTCAGCTAATTGACCTTCTTCAGAATAAAAAATATAAAAGTATGAAAAAAAAATTACAGACTAATAATTAAACATGTAAATACTATAGTACAATGTAATTTTTATAACTCTGTTCATGGATCAACTTAATGATGACAAAATAATGGGCATGTGTTATTATCCAATGATAAATGTAAATTGATGTGCTTCTCAAATTTCACAAACTTATCTAAATCAGCAGACAAACTACCCGAAAAACATAAATATCAAAAGTCAAATCATCGTATTGTTTGCATATACACAAGTCCACAAATTGGGAGTGGAAATATCAGTCAATAAATAATATTTCTCAATAATTAAATTGAAAATTATTTTGAGGACACTTAGTATATTAAAAGGAAATCAATGATTCCTTCGTTAACACTATATAATTTAGAGATCTCACTTAAGCAGCAAATTGAGAAGCAATTGTACTAAATATCTAACCTTTCTTTTCCTGCGTTGTTTCTTCTTAGTGTTTTCATTGGTAAAAGCTTTGTACTCTGGGACATCACCATTTTTTATAAGATTCTGGATTATATCATGTAGTCTTGGTTCCTCATCACAATTAGTGAATGGAACTGCTTCCAGAATATAGTCCATATCTCCCTTACCTGAAATAAATATGTTTGAATAAATATTAATTTATCGTAACACAATTCCATCAAATTTTTTATCTGAGTTCCAACATAAAACTTAGCATAAGTAAACACTTACTGTCCATATATGCCCTTTTAAGATCCTTGATCTCTGTCTCTGATCCCTTATAGTTTTTTTCATAATTATTGATATCTTCTACAGTAATTGCCTTGAACAGTGACCTCCAGTAGTCTGCCCAGTTACGCATCACAACCTCTTCACTCTCTTCATCATACTGGCCAGATTCATCATAAATCTTACGTTTCTCACTGTCACTAAGAATAGAGTGTATTCTTCCAAGGACTTTAAACTTTTCTGTTGCTTCAGTCTTGATGCTCTCTTCTACTCTATCCGGGTGTACAAGTAACGATAATTTATGGTATGCCTTCTTCACTGTTGACAAAAATATGCACCTGTTATTATAAATGAGAATAAATATGCAGTATTGCCTTTTCTCCTCATCAAATTTTTCAAAACTTGTTTTATGTATCTTGAGTCAGGAAAAAACTATATCTATTCAAAGCAAATATTATCCTTTAGCATTTTTTTTCATCTTTTGCTCAATAATCGTTTTTGAACACGATATTTTTATAAAAAAATGCACTATATTACAAATTTATTTAAAACAAAAATGTTATGTCCATAGAGGTTAAGACGTGCATATGACGCTAACGTTGATTGACCTTGTTTATCGTTTGCTGTCTTTGATATCTTCAAAACATCGTAGAAATTACGTGCGCCAAAATATTGCTCGCAAAGATCCGGCAAGCTTGCCATGCTGGCAAATTTTCGAAAAATTACTGCTAATTTTGACAGATTTAATGTGTAAACCAAGCTCGACAACGAAGTGAAAGACTTTTCGCGCGCTGCATTCTAATATGGTAATTTAAACCATTAGTCGAGAGTGACATCTACAGGTACATTCAGTACTACAATGGGTGCATTCAGTACTACAACCGCTCAATGAGCGCTAAGTGAGCTCTTGCATCTGATTGGTGTATATTTTTAAATGTAAAGGTATATACCAATCAGATGCAAGAGCTCACTTAGCGCTCAGTGAGCGGTTGTAGTACTGAATGCACCCAATGGCTCCCTGAATGTTCAGTGAATTCTTATATATATCTAAGATTACTATCGAATTGGTATATTCCTTTAGTTTTAAAAATGTATGCCAATCGGATGTAAGAATTCGTTAAGCGTTCAATCTAGTGAACGGTGCAGTATTGAATATACTTTATATAATGATTATTATAAAAGCCCGCGATATGCAATTGTCATATGGCTTATATGTTTTATACATTACATATATAAAATAAAAATGAAAGTGCTCGTAGTAGTATATATCAAACAACTCCAAAAAAATGTAAATTATTTAAAAGTATTATGACTGATTTAGTATCTACGGATCATCGTTGTTTCCAGTTTAGATTAGCTTCTTCATTGCACATGATTTATTAATTTATACTTGGTAACCCATCATTTTTGCATCGATCAATCAAATAGACACATCGGCTTCAAATTCTTCATAACGCGTAAGCGCACGTTGTTGCAATTTATGAGGATCTTAGTTATTTTGGACCTAGATTGAAACCTTATCACTTATATTTCGTTAATTAATATTTCGTAACTTGTCATTTCCGAACCTGTCACTTTTCAATATTTCGTGACCTGTAACTCCGAAATGCGTAATCGCACTTCGACATGATTGGCTCGGATATAGTATGTATACATTTTATCAGGGGGCGCGTCGGAATTCAGCAGAAAAAGCGTCCAACATAATCGGCCCGGTGGCCGCTCTCAGGTTTCTTCCTGATAATATACAATAGCAAAATGGCGACTCGCATAGCATCGCAGAAACGTCAAAATAAGAACAAGTCTTTTGTTCGCCTCTGCGGCGGTTAGATGTGGTTCCCATAACTGCGTATATTTTTGATCTTGGGGACTGCGTACGCGTTGTCCCTGTTTTTTTTTTATTTTCAAAATCGTGATTGGCGTAGAGAAGGAGAGTTAACTCTGCTCAGAGCCATATATTGAATGAATGAATGAATGAATATACAATAGCAAAATTTTTATTAGACATGAGTACTAAAATCAAATATATGGCAATTGTAAAATGCTCGGAAAGTTGTCAAAAAAAGTTAATAAAAAATAATGTCAACAGTACACAGTGTTCCCAAGTGGAAAACCTATCCAAATACTAACTATGCCCAATGCTGTTTGTACTTCAGTGATCAGATGAGAAGTGGTAATTTTAATGTGGTATGACCGTTGACAATTATTAGCTTCTTTCAGTCATTGAAAGGATACTTCAAAAAGGATTTTTGGAAAGCAGAAGAGATTACAATAGTATAATTTTTATTTAAGATTAAATTGTTGGAGCACTGCATTAGATTGTAAAATAATATATACATATATATTCAAAAAAGTATATTTCAATTTCATATTTATATTAAAAAGAACTTATACATTTGAATTTAGCGATCCCCAACACAATAATTGGACTTACATTTAACTGGGCTTATTCATTAGCTTAGAATTTAAAAATAAGGGAGCTATAATTGGTCATAACAATTACCAAACTACAATATACGGAGTAATTTGTAGTTTTCTTTTTGTTATGAACATATAATTGAATATTTAAAAAAATATTTTCATGTGATTCAATCCAAGTTATATTTCATTTACCAACCATTGTGCTTATAGCACTGTTTTTTTTTAGTTTTATAGGAAATTACTCCAAACACGAAAGTGTACATACACATACACGCACGCACGCATTTTTTTTATAGAATTGAAATGTTATATAAAATATATAGCACACATTATATTATATTTCACGTTATTTACAGAAATTTTAACATTATATCAATTGTTTAACAGCAACTTGACTCAATTGTTATACGAAACACTTATTTCAAGATTAATATTAATTTAATTTTGCTGTATAATATACCGAGCTGTCAATTAATTTAATTAATTCTCCAACTATTAGTAATATATTTAATATGCGATTACTTTAAACATGCTTATAGAGGTATAAGATCATAATCATACGGATGCCTCTAACAGTTAGAGAATTAAATTAAAATTACATATATATGAAATATCTACTACCTCATTTTTTTTAAGTTGTATTAACCAGCGTGTGTTTTATATCAAAAATTTATTTTCCAAATGTGATACTTCGACATATTGCACCCATCATGTAACATCGCATTTAAAAGCAAGATGTATGCTAATTTCAATGTTCTAAAAGTAAGTGGAAATAAATTATGTGAAAGTAAATTTATGAGACAATGTTTCTGATACTTTTCAAAATATATGATGTGCACTTTCGTTTCGTTTCTCGTAACATTATTTCATTTCATAGAATATCTCTCTCTCTCTCTCTCTTTCTCTTTCTCTCTTTCTCTTCTTAATGTTTAAATAAATATTACAAAAAATATAGAAGAGATCGACAGTCTCGATTGTGTTTCGCTTTATCTCATCAATTTGCTATCTCTTATCTCTACTCATTAAGTCTATATTTAATCATAATTACATGCTTGTTTCTTAATTAACGACTTATGTTACGATAATTATATGTATTGCATTATATATATATGTATATGTATATGCATATGTATATGTATATGCATACGTACATTAATTCACATCATAAATATAAATTATTGTACATTAGATATTTATATACTTACATATCTGGTAATATATTATCGATATTTTGAGCAGTTCACCTATTTAACGAAATGTGGCAAAAGAAACGTAGATGTATTTTCCTCAAATATTATTTGAATAACTTTAACTTAAAATCCCGCACTGTGTGTCTTGATAGCATACACTCTGACTTGAGGCGGTAAACAGTGTTGGTTAATCGCAACAGGGCGAAATTAAATTTTAACAAACCGGCGGGAGAATCGTAAAGACCGGCTTGTCTTCTTTGGCAGATTTATTCTCCCCGCTGTTTTTGACGAAACCCTAAATTGTGCGTCGATAAGAAATTAGTGTTGGCACCGCGTTGTGTTTCTATCTGTTTGCATGATATTCTTTGAAAGAAATTATATATGTGTTCTGTTTTTTCCCTTTTCTATAAAAGAAAATACAAATCTACACCTGATTTAACTGATTACGACAAAGACGTACGATAAAGAATATATTATAAAAAGGTATTAGCGTTTTATTTTGTTTCCAATTTTTGATTTGTGTTTCTCTTTCTTGTTCATACTACAATGAATTAAGATTCTACAACAAATTAAAATTTATTAAGATCTTCCTTTTGATGTAGTCGCAACATGTCGTCACGTCACGATTGTCGCTAAGTCATCGAATTATCTATCTAAAAGTGTTTGTGCATTCTTTTCATTCGATGACAACGATGTACAAATGCGAACAAGGAGAAAGATTTTCAATGTGAACGATTATCAACATGTTAATACATTATCTCTCTACCGTTATATAGATTGCTTTATTTACATTATTACCTTTAGCTAATAATCTATATAATCAGGTAATACGCGCCTCTTCGCTTACACACAGATCAAATCATGCCTAGGCACTTAAGAGGAGTGATCGTGCACTTTCTGCATTTTTTCGGGCAATTATTAATCCGAAAGAAGCAGAATTAACGTTCAGACATTTACAAATTATGTCACGAGGCGTCGATTGCTATTTTTACTTTCTCTTTTCTTATTTTCTTTTTTTTTCGTTTTCTTTCGGATGAGAAGAATTCACGAACGGCAATACAATAGCGCAACGCATGCACCATCGATTGCAATACATCAATATTAACACCAGCAAGATTTTATAACCATTATATCTCAAAGATTCTTCACTTAATTGCGACTTATAAAAATCCTTAGATAAAAAGTACTATTATACCGATACGATATTTCGGCTAGTGGCACGAAGCTCGCTTTGGACGATCTGTGTAACTCATGGCAAAATTCAGCATAAAGTTCCATTTGTTATTTTGATGCGTTCTCGTACAGAGAACTTTGGTACGGAGGGACCTCAGTGTAGAACGATTTGAACGTTTATCTCTTTACAGATGCTATCAGATCCGAATTTCGTTGCGAATTACACACAGATCGTGCACAGCGGACCTGACAGTGGACGAGATGAAAGTATCTTTGCTCTGTAAAATTTAACGAGACAACTGGCTCCATCGGCGACACCAGTCCGTCGTATCGTTCGGCGGTAACTATTATAAATAGATATCGAAATCGTATCCCGCTCACATTCGAGTCCTCGTTTCCCTTTGCGGTGCTATTTCATGCGATTGAGGACCAGATCGGCCAGAACAGTAAGAGCTTTTTGGTACGGACTCTTGGCGAAGGACTGCGCAATTCGGATGGCTTCTACACAATGCTTCTTCGCCATGAATTTCGTTTGTTGGAGACCGTTGGATTTGTGCACCAAATCGAAAGCCTTCTCGACGTCTCCGGGCTCTTGGAAACGACGCATAATCATCGCGTTCAGCTCCGGATACTGCCAATAAACATCAACACTTCAGTTGGACAAATATCAATAAAATTATACATTTATCTCCCGTAAGAAGAAAATTAATGGAAAATGTCGAAAATATTTTTCTAATCGGTTGCACAATTTGATATAATTATACACTCACAAGCAAAAAAGTACTAAAAATCTGGAAAAAATCATCAAATTTCAAATGACAATAATTTTGTAAATAATGGAGATAAAAAAATCTATAGAAAATGAAAATGATGCTTAAATTTTTTACTTTATGAATCCATTCATTGCAATGATGTGTAATAAACTTTTTTTTTAAATGGAGAGTCACACATAAAGCGAGAGCGTGCGAAATTGGAAAATAATGGTCCGATTTTACGACGGTGCACGATATAAATAAGCAAAAAATTGTAGTTTATTGACAGAAGAGACAGAAGAGGCATGAAAGGAATATTCTCTTTGGCTTTGTATGTATATTGATACGACCATTTTTTGCTGAATTATTCGCATTTGAAGTAAAAAAGTACCTTTTTTCAAATACGAATATTTTTGCGAACAAACATTGAATCAAGATGAGTAAAAAAATATTCAGGAGAAGAAACTGTATACTTTTATGTGCTTTTTATCCTATTAAGTTGCGCGCAATTGTTCGGAAAGATTTACTCTGTACTTCCCCTCCTATCGATAAAAGTCACTTGTATCGCGACTCGCCGAATTTTTCGTATATTTCCATATACTAACCTGTTCGCAAGCGAAGAGCACCGGAGCTGTAGCCAAGCCGAGCTTGAGATCGGCACCCGCAGGTTTACCTATAGCTTCCGACGAAGCCACGAAATCCAAAAAATCGTCCACCAGTTGGAAAGCTAAGCCAACGTTTCTGCCATATTGATAGGCCATCTCTACCATGCGATCATCGACTTCGGCAAGCGTGGCCACCTGTGAAACAGATAATGTCGATCGATCGTTAGCAAGAAGAATAGACTATGCATCTTCTCGTGTACATGTGCAAAGAATGCGTGCACGACGAGATATCTATAAGCTTACCGCTTTACTGCAATTGGCCATCAGACTCGCCGTTTTTAAATAGGTCTTGGTGAAATAATGGGCGAACCTCTCATTCTCCGTCTCTTTCGAGCCGAGTTGCATGAATTCACCTTGCACCAAGTCAGTGATAATCTATGAAGTGGCGAAATTTGTATCAGCCGTAAAAATACATCTGCCGGTCCAGGTGTTGCGACCTCCTTTTTATTTATTCTATCTTGTGACCGGCGTCTTAACTTCTCGGCTCGTATCTTTTTTCCCATTTGAGCAATAGGAGAAAAAATAGACTTCGTATACTTCGCAGCTAACTGTGCAGAGAACACAAACATAAACCACAAAATAGCATTGTTGGCTTGGATTTTTAAGTGTACAACTTTACAACACTCACCAGGTGCATCTTGCAAGGTGCATGTTGCAAGTGTTGCAACTTAGTAATTTTCAACATACTAAGTATCTCCATAATTCGTCTCGAATGAAGTTAGAATGAACGAAAAATTTGAGATTTACTGAAAAGCGAAACTCGACGTTCACTTGCATACTCGCGGCTTAATTCGAAGGACTCTTGGATAACTCTCAACTGGGATTACAGATAGTGACATCATGACAGTCAATATCTACAGTTATCATCACTAATCACTAATCCACGAGCCGAGAAGAAAGAGAATCTTCGATATAATTCATCCGTTTCATCCATTTACGCACTTATTCTATATATTTATGCGAAGAAGTATTATTTTGTGATGAAGTAAAAAAAAAAAACCTTCTTGTTCTCGCCTCTGACGTCCCAATCCAGTGACGAGCTACAACAACAAAGAAAATACGAGCCACGAGAGTGTGCTCTAATTAATGTACCTGATTTATAACGATAGTCACATCGTCGTTTTGAATTCTAGCGAGCATCGTGCCGGCGACCGCCAAGATGTAATCTCCCGCCATCGCCACCTACGAACATATGACTCACGTCAAGAGAGCGATTTCGCACCATCTTCTCGAGTGAAGTATTAGCATTAATTAACAATAACATTGTTTTACAAATATTAATGTTAACTTCACATTGCGAAAGTAAAAATACGAGAATATTTGTTACTACAAGCTACGGAAATTTTGGAATCTGCAAGCACTTTGAGAAACGGCGTATGTATTGATTAAATCGTAAAGGATAAAAGAAACGAAAGAGCTCGGAGAATCTCCAGACCTTCGGATGCTTGCAAATTCTGACCCTTTCGTGTGGCATTTGCATAGGTGAGAATCAGCGGAACGGACAATCGGCTTTTCTCCTTGAGAGATACAAATACACGCGCATTTGATGCTCGCAAGACGACACGTGCGGTTGGCGTAGCGCTCAAGGGATTAAGCGAAAGAATGAAGTGTGACGCAAAATAGCAATTTAACGGTCGCTTCGCATGCCTACTCGTTACGCTGAGCGTTAACCGTTAACGACGCAGCCGACACAATTATAATCTGGGTTTCCTTTCACTCTCTCTGGACATCCTTCAAATCGGAGCTCCGCTAGTAGTTGTTACATTTGACTTGATATCGCGCGAGAGGACATGCGTTCACCTCTCTCGCTTATAATCTTACTCCGAATCCTTTCTTGCCGTTCATTATCTCGATCTAAATTAATTGATCTAAATAAATTGCCCCGAGACGGGCAATGTCTGGATTAATTAGGCCTCGAAACCGAACCGAGACGGAAGCTGATGAGGAAATCAGAACGCGAACCGACAACGTAACGTCTGAAATGGAAAGCGATCGGGATCGGGATCAAATCGATCGACGCAATAGCACTAGAAATTCTATCACAATGAAACGGACGAATACGGGACCGGTGAGGCTTATTAAACTGCGGACCGCAAACTCAGTTTCATCGGTACATGGATTTGCGGTTGACAGGTCTCCCGTTGTAAAATTGCTGATGAACACATTGTTCGACGACGTGAGGGAACGCGTCGTCCCGAAACCGCAGCGATCTTGACGGGTCTTAATGACCGTGGCTTATTATGTCGCCGATTTCTAAATTTCCTCGTCCTATGTCGAATTTTAAGATCGTGAAGTACACATCGTCTCGCTTTCTATCTCTTTTCTTTCTTTTTCTTCCAATTTCTCAACTAGACTCTCGCAAGCAAGATTCTGTCCGGTTAATGTCTGTAACAAATATCTGCGACTTTCTGTACACGTCACTCGAAACATGTGGTGTTTCACTGGAATTTCCTTGGAAATCTCTTCAAAGATACACAACACTTTGTGCTCTCAAAGAGATACTTTTATTTAGACATTTATAAAGTATCTTGAACTTTCTGTGGACATCACCTAAAATGTATTTCCATGGCATTTTCCGGCATCGGTTGATTTTTTTTTTAAGTTTGCTTAAAACTCCTTTAATTTTTTCTCAAGGATGTTGACACATTTGGATGTGTATAATTTTTCTTTCTTAATCCAAACATCGTTGACAAAATATAATGAATAAACGTTCACCACAAAATTCCAAGAAAAGAAGTCTCGTTATATAATTAATAGATGTCATATTTATGTTGTTTTAAAATTAAGTCAATTTCTGCGGATTTTAATAAACTCACTTTGTATGGTTCTCAAGAACAAATGCTTTTTCTTAAAATTCTTATTCAAGGCGAAGCAACGTAGCTTTTACCGATGAAATCTTCTCTTTGTAATATACGCGAAATTCCGCGTATGATTAATTGAACATGGAGATTTCTTGGACATATCATAATTAAAGAGATAGTGCGTATGCTTTGTATATCCTGATAATGACAGATCTCCGGGAGATCTCCGGGAACTTTCGAAAGACCTTCAACGTTGCATTCAGACTCTCGAGACCTTCTATGCATCCGGGATTCCCCCGGAAGTTTAGTGTTCGAATAATATTCGAGACGATCCGACACTTTCGCGCCACGAATGACTCGGAGCCGCGCTCATCCTCGCTTCCGGATCGTCTCCGTGAACAATACCTCGGCGGGACAGAGGTGGTTGACGAAAGATCGTTTGGCTGTTCGACGTGACAATAGCCGAAGCGAGTCGTGGCTAACGCAGCTCGTAACTTCGGAGTTTCACATCCGGCATCGCCGATGCGTCGCCTTATTTTCGCGCGCCTCAAGCCGCGACCGAGAGACATCTGCTAGGGAGAAGGGACTCCCCGCAAAAACAACACCGATGCGTAAAACGCACCGGTGATATCTCATTGCGATTACGCCGCGCTTGCAAAACAGGTCTCGGCAAAGCGTCGTCTTCGCTAAAAAAAGAAAATGATGAAGACACGCGTGTGATACAACAACAGCGGATTCAGAAACAGCGTGTAACGTTACTTTTGTGAGAGACGAATAAAGCATCTTCATGACACGTTGATAACCGTCGCTTTCATTTCTCTTGACTACGCTTAAAAAGTTGAAACTAATTGCACAGTGGACGGGAAGGCTATCTGTAACTGTTTGTGTGAGTTTCGGGATGTACCCGTTTAATCCAACAGTAAAATTTGGATAGAATGTGTAAAGCCATAATCGCACGCGAATTCCACGCAGGATTCACTTTACAGGTAGATTTTATTATATCGAGCCGCGCTCTGAAGAGGAATTTACCGCAGACCTCGCATCCGCGACCTGACATCCTCGTTCTATGTGTGTAGACTTCAGCAAGAGTTCTCTCGATTAGCGGTACGTTAACGCGACGACCCGAATTGCGTTACACAATTAGCTCGTTCGTTCCACACGTAGGCGTGTGTTTGCATGCAGTCTTACGCAGCCGATGCACCTTGGAGGCAGTATCGGAACTTTCGTGACTACCGTTGGGCTTTCCATTTCATCGGAAGGCGCTAATTCCGATGCTCGTCAAGGTTGTCACACTTTTCAACCTGCCCCGTAACGCTCGTACTCTTTGCGAATCCGTTACGCAATTTGCAACGCAACGTCGGCGTACCACCGACTAATTGGTAATCTCCATTTCTCCCGTTTACTTGTATCGTCAATCTCCATTTCACTCGTTTCTAAGCCGAACCGAGTCTTTAAGCCCACCGTGGGAGCTGTTCCGTTTAAAACACCGCTTTGGGAATTAGGGCGTTGCTTCTCCAAACGTCTTAGATCACCCGGCACGGACGGTCCAAGGTGGTTACATACCGCGTTGAGTCATGTAACACGTCTGTTTCTTTTCTTCCTTAGAAATTTCTTCTCGGACGTGAAAGATTTCAGAAAGCAGCCCGATCCAATATCGATTCATTATTACAGATAATAATAAATCTTTTTATCAAATTGCGCCAGGAAACAACTTTTAGAATAATTTTTAGAATAACTTTTAGAATAAGGCAAATATATTTTAAATGTTTTTCTTTTTTTTAAGAAGAATCGATAGGCTATTTGCTTGTTTAGGTTGCACGCAAGTTATTATTTTATTAAGGATAAATATATTATCGAGTGAGGATTTAGAAGGAGTTTGTATCAAGATAAACTTTTACAGAGAAGAAAAGGAGCGGAAGTTATGTGTGATTCAACACGATATGAAGTGGTAACTGTAAGGTCGTGGAATTGAGGGCAATCGTTCTGTTCTTTGCGTTGCCTAATAGTCACACTTCCATCACATGTAATTATACTTTTGTATTGTGTAAATGCTAAAACGTCAGAACTAGATTTATTCCCTCATAATAGTCAAAAATCATAGACACGTCACAGGCGACTATATATAAGCAAATGTTCACAAATTCACTCATTATAAATTATATGTTTTTATAAATTGTATTTATTATGAATATACTCATTAAGGACGTGATAAATCGGCAGGAAAATTCCTAGTTCGCAGTTCAGTATAAAAGTGCTCACAAAAATATTTTGCAAAATTAATGAATTCTATTTCGGGAAAGAATTTCTCGAATTCACGGTGTTGAAAATGAGCTAATGCTGGAAAATGGAAGCAATTCTGTTGCTGAATGCGGATCGATCCTGCAACAAAATTGCACAACGAACTCTTCTGAGAATCAGTAACTGTGCGAAAGAAAAGGCGCATGTCTTCATAGGTGTTTTCCATATGAGAGTAAGTAGAGAAGAAACAAAACGACAGTTATTTGTTAATAGCTTTACGCTGACCTAGCTCGCCAATTGCGCTCTAACTGCGTTTTTTCGTATGGAAATAGAAGCATTGCGTATTACGCTTGAGTAATAAACATGTCGACGACAAGAAGCAATTTATTCACTGTTCGCAACCGGCGACAACGGCGGTGACAATTGAAGGCTAATTAATAAATATTGAAACGTCTTGCGCGACTAATTCGTATGGAAAAGCACGGATATCGTCCCGCGACTGCGAAAGGATATCGTCGTAAATGATCGCGAGTAACGTAACAATGGATTCAAAGCGCATCGCGAGTCAGTTCGAAAATGTCTGGAACACCGGTGTCGTATGTTCTTCAAGCTCGAAACGAAAAAGGGAAAGTACACGGTGGCGAGAAAAACATTGCAGGACGTACAGTGAATTAATAATGAACGACAGTGCGCTTCCATTGCGCGTTTGACAGGTAAATTTTTCGATCGCATTACGTATTATCCACTATCCAACTGTCAATTTCTATAACATATATAATTTCAGCAAGAGTCAATTAGCTCGCGATTAGCTCGCGTGCACACACACATACACACAGTCGTCACTTTCGAAAGAATTCCGTGTCGTTCGTCTCGTATATTTCGCAACGCGTGTCCATGTCCGAATTGATTATTAATATTCTTCGATCTCTTCCGATTAAAGACTTAGGGATATATCGAGCATGGGTTGAGATGATTTTACACAAGATCTATTTCTACAGATTTCTCCCTTTTCTTTGTTCGATAAATTCTACACTACTTCATCATATCAATAAATAAATTCAACTCTACTTCATCATATAAAAAGTTATCAAGGTACATTCCATTTCTAAGACAGTTTGAAACCCCTTAGTTGTATATTCGCGTTAATGAATGTCCCGTCAAATTTTCTGGTTGCGAAAACATACGCGCATATACATACACGTACACGACCGGAGAAAAAATCAGATCGCACTACTGGTTTCAAATCAAGAAAGCACGCACGGTCAACGCTCGGCCATGAATCGCATTAGCCTCTTTCCTCCTCCGGTATTTTAGAGAGAGAGTTCGAGTTTCCACCGTCGTCATTACCGGTCACCGCGTGCGGTGGTCACTTTCGACAAAAATTTTAGTAAACGTTCGACGCGAGCGATTCTAGATTGAAGCTCTGCACAACCGGTTACTTTGGTTACTGGAGAAAAAGAAAAGAGAGAGAGAGAGAGAAAACGCAAATCCAACCGACCTTCTTTTGGCTCCAAATGATGTTCACCGATGGTTTGCCTCGGCGGCTATCCGATTGATCGATCACATCGTCATGCAACAAGGAAGCGACGTGTATCATCTCCGAGATCATCGCTATTCGCCGCTGCGAGTACGAGAGAACGCTGAAAGCAAAAGGAATGTCTTTGTGTCGCGGCGCTCATTTGTTTATTAATTTATGCATATTTCCATTCACTTTACTATCCATTTATATTATTGTATTCGTTTCTTTACTTATCTATGTCTTTACTTCTTTATTATCTTTTACCTATCTGTGTATTCATCGTATCTCTTTCTTTATTAATTCCGTTCGTAGACATTTATGCGCGAGATTTTTTAATTTAACTATCAATTATGCAACGGTTCTTTACTGTCTCGTCCACTGGCTCACGACAAAAAATATTTTATATAAACCGCTTATTATAGTACTTATTCTTATTTTTCACTCTTTACAGTCACGCTACTTTCGATTTATGTACTTTCGATTCTCTGTACATATATGTTTTTTTTACGTAACCAAAAAATATTTTCTCGTTAATATATGATATAAATGATATTATTTTTATTTATACCGATTGAAAGCTCTCGAGAAATAGCATAAGATAACGTATCGTTCTGTGGACTCTCGATCGATATTCGCGACGGAAATGGTGAAAAGAGTCGAACGTGTTGAAAAGTTCTATTTAATTACATTCGATGTTATATAGAATTATTTAGAACGAAAGTTGCTCGGGGTGGAGAAGTTATCCGAGGCGAAATGTATCCAATTCTGGTCGCAACGCACATACCGTAGTTCTCATTCACGTGGCATCTCATTCATGCTCGTTGTAGTAAGCTCACCCACGATGACGCGGCTCGCCACTTTCGTTAGAGATCCACTCGCCTCTGGCGTACCACTTTGTCGACACTTTTAATGCTTTCTAAACGCCGTGAACGTACGTTTTCTCACGCTCACGCAGATTCATCGCTCGCGTTGCAGCTCGCGTTAACAAGACGATCGAGAGAAGGCTCTCTACACACGCGAGGTTTTAATAATCGTAAATTTTCCAACACGACCGATACGCTGCACTATGATCGATCGTGATTTCATATCGAAAATCGCCCGTTTAATCGAAAGTTTAAAGACATAATAGCCTCTTTACCGGAGGAATGTATCGCGCGCTCGAGACAACGAGATTCTCGTTGATCACTCGAATAGGAATGAGGAACGAGAAGAAATGTGTTAATTTAGTTATTAACTGTCAAAAACTGCATTTTTCCACCATCATTAATTGCTTAAAAAAAAGAGAAAAAAGAAAAAAGGAGGGAAAATATCTGGTGCAAAAATGCAATCTCTTTATATTTATCGGTCGTCCTATGTTTTCTCTAATTGCACAACGTGTTGTCCGCAACATTATTCAATCAATATTCCTTTCCAGACACGTAGCTCAAGCGGAAGTAGCGCCGGCCGGTGCCGAGGAATTCATTTTAAGAAATTAAATGTCAAAGCAACGCGATTGAGATCGCACGTTTTGTGCCAATTAGAATTATCTTAATGCAGAGCATGCGCACGGCTTACGGGCAATCGCCGACATATTCTGCACGCATATTATGTAGTCTTTCTATCTTGAAGAAACTTACATATAATTATTCTAACGCGGTTTTCTAACGTAAATAGTTATGTTTTCCTATTTCCTTAACGACAATCCTGTAATCTCTCCCCTACACGCGTTTGTGTACGCGGCGTTACACCGTTGAAAAATTTCGCCTTTGTACGAAAAATGCGCACGAGGTTGTCATTTCGAAATGTTGATCTAACATTTCTCGCTTGCTGGGTTAGAAACGCCGGTCCACTTACTCGCTTCCCTTGTGGTAATTGATAACTCGTGCCATCAGTATGCTCAACATGGGCCGCAACGCCTTCCCTTGGCCATCCATATAATACGTAGCTATTGGTTGCAATTCTTTCTGCGTAGTTGCGTTGATGAGTTCCTAAAATCACAACGACACACGTATCCTTAATTATGTATCAACCGGAGGACTTTTGGAGCGATACTTATAATCCGATTTTATATTTCATATCATCTTAAGTTCAGCTGAATTCTCGGACACAATCGTGAGAAAATCTGTGCTCTGTCAGTCAAACTATTGTTGGATAACTCAATCCGCGAGTTTGGATGATTTAAGAGAGAAGTAGCTAAGAGGAGGGGTTGGGCAATAATGAGTGGACATAAATTTAAGTAATCGACAAAAAGTAACCAATGTTTGCCGATGTTTAGAATGTCGATCAACGATTAAGATGTCGTATGGATAAAGATAGCGTTTATAGATACCGTTGAAAACCATTTTATTAAACAAACTATTAATTAATACTTGTCTAGAATCGACTATTAATTAAGAGGATACGGTTTCGTTGTTCGTTTGTCTTTCAGAAGAGCGAGCGCATTTCTCTCACCGCAGGAGAAATCTACATCCCATCATTCAAAATATGGATTCAACACTAGCGACCACTCTCGTTTTTCCAGACATTTTCGGGGATTTCTCCATCGTGTGCGGTGGCTTAGCCGAACTGAGAGCGTAACCAAAAGAGAAATCTGTAGCTTTCGTCCTTTCGACAAGCGACACCGGAACCCGTCTCGCAATCGCGCGGAATTAAATATGCGCGGGGCAAAACTGCTTTCGTTGCAATAGAAACGAGAGGAGACGTCGTCGGCGTCGGCAGACCAGGTGCTTCGAATTCCAAACGTCGCACCGCGGCTGAAAGTTCCTTTTGGAATTTGTCCAGAAGAGTGTGTTAAGTTTCGACGTACGGCGCACGGAATCTTCGGCCGTTCGAGCAGCTCGAACACTTCGCATTTCGAAACCGAGAATCTCTAATTTCGGGATATCTGAAGGATCGGATGTGTTACAAGAATCAGATTGTGTAAAACTGTTCTATAATATCTGAGAAACATATCCTTCCACTGGGAAATTAAGCAACATATTACGACGGAAACAAGTGAAGCCATTTCTTTTCCGTTTGCGATAGATATCATTTCCTCTCGCTTACGCCGGAATTATTCGAACAGTTGAACTTTCGGGCAATGTGAGCCTGCTGGGCAGATTCGTTTGTTCCGCTCGAATACTCCAAGCCGAGAACATACGTCAGTGTGTCGCTTCTCGTGCGTCCTCCGTCCATTCGCGCGAGAGGAAGTCGAACAGGTGAACTTGCAGGTGGAGGAGAAAGATGCAAAGAAGGTTAAGAAGGAGGTATTGTCCAATTATCGATGCAGCGTTTGAGATACTAATAGTCGATTTCTCTAACTTTCCTCAAATCAGATAACGTTCGTCACGATGGTTCGTTAAATGCGATTTCTTTTGTCTTGCCAACAACCGCCAATGAGGTCAATCTACGACGATGAAAAATGTCGCGAAACCGTGCTTTTGGACATTTTCACATATATCATGTTTACACGCTGTTACATCGTCGACACTGAGCTGTAATCGAAACAGTGCCTCGGAGTATAGTTTTCATTCGGCAATATTTGTACCTACGAGTCGTATCTTTGCAGTGTCAATTGGCAAAGTTAAACTAGCAGCGAAACTAGCGAAATACTTTCGTCCCACCAGATTGGATGAATTTCACATAACGCTTCGTACACGAACAGCGACCGTGAGTAAAAGTTCTTCTCTCGACCATATGCAGACCGTGAAGTCGGGCTGCTTTCGCTCGCGGGCTCGAAACGCCTTAAGCGCGGAACGCCGCGTGAAAACTGCGCAGGTTTTCATCAATATTTATAAAGTGCGCCTACCAACGACCGTATCTATCGAGGCGAAAAGAAATAGCCAATGTGTACATTGAATAACATCCCGATCTAAGTGTCCCTCGCCGATATAACGAGGGTTACAAGCAGCGATATATGCATTATTATTGTCGTATATCCGCGAACGATGATTAAGTTTTCATATTCGAAACAAATATTAATCAATTTCCTCACTTGTTAGTAACAAATTAGTTTTTTTTTATTTTCACGTGTAAACCCTGATATATTCATATCAGAAATTTCATGATAATTCTTAATTTGTTTTTCGCGATGCAATTTGCGAGGTCCGCTGATTAGATCCCATAAATTAGTTCGTACGCAATAAAACGTGAATAAATAAATTTTATTCTTCTTCTTCTTGTTCGTTAGATACGTAAAATTTAATCACGAATATGTTTTCAACAATGAAATAACATTTAAAATATTTCTAGAATAAAATAGGAAAGATATATAAAAATAATATTTTTGAAATAAAATATGAGAAGAAATTAATCCGTTCAACCGCGTGACAATTGACTTCATGAATACAAATTCATTTGTCAATAAAAATAAAGGTAAATATAGTACGGAATATAAATCTGTTCACAGCGTGCATAAATAAATCACTCGGCTTCATTAATAATTCTTTATAATTAATAATTAATAATTTATTTTTCGCGATGAAATTTGATGAGATCCGCTAATTAAATTAAGCTGTAAATTAATTCGTGTGCAATAAAACATAAATAGGAAATCAGCGAATACATTCGTCGTGCAAAATCGCAGACGCCCGGTTACGAGATTTCTTGTAATCGCACTTTTTTCTATACACGCATTGTTACCGCACGAGTGGACAGTCGTCCTGAGTCGCCAGGATTTCGCAACGTCGTGTGCGCTCATCCGCGTAATATCGACGAAGTCAAATTACATAAATACCTGCTAGACGACAGTGTGCTTTTACTTCCCGAAAGTTCCTCGAGACTTTGATCGACGGGGATATATAAATGGAGATTAGCCTGCGGCTTTGTTTTATGTAATTAATTTGCGTTCTCTTCGAAAGTGACATTATATTGGCGTAATACTTATTCGAATTAAGAATCTCGCACGTCGAGAAAGAACAATTTTAATCTGTCGGGTAATTACCTAAGTGTCTTTAGTTAAGCTGCTAAAATAATTCCACGTGGTGAATACTTGCCGTATCGAAAGATTTGAGCAACAAGATTAGAGTTAAATTAATTATTATTAATTCAAGAGATTCTCGTTTGTCGAAAAATAAAAACTGTTGGCAAAAAAGCGCGCATCTGCTTAATTAAAATATATTTACGATATGCAAGATAATTTCAAGCAGAAGCAATCAAAATGATTTACCTCTTGTATGTTTTCGAATAAGTACTTAAGATCGTCCTCGACAAGCCTGTAAGGATCGATTTGGTAATCGGACAGAGAGCCAGGCAGCTGCGTTTGCATAGTGCTCGTCGCCCTCGCAAGGCCTATCCTGCAGTCTGGCGTGTTCGTTTTGCTCTGCAAATGAGAAAAATGAAAGTTCCGTAAATATTGACGATAAATATACATTGTGTGCGGTTACGATTAATTACGTAATACCGCTCGAACAAGTGTTTCTTTTTCCATCCAGTTGCGAGTACTCACACGTACAACTTTTAAAATAAGAACAAGAGATTCCAAAAGCCAATGAGAGCCTACATAAAATATCAGTTCCGACATATCAAAGAATTAATGCATATCTCGGAATTTTTCGACTGAGGAAATTCACAGATTATGTCAACATGCTGCTGTTAACCGCGCATCTGCAGAGCCTTGATAATTAATTTTATATCTTTACATTTTATAATTTTATATTTTTCAAAATATGACTTTAAAATATAATTTCAAAAAAAGACGCGGCGATTTATCATTTTTTGTTCCGAATCGATGTACGAACGTGCAGATATCCTTCGGTATTCAAATCGAGACAGCTTTGACGAACAGATAAAATATAAAAATACTTTTCTTTCTTCTTTCAGAAAGTGTTTCCGGTTGTAAAAGTAACTCCCAACGCATCAACCTCACAGTCCGACATAATGCGCACTTTACTACTTAGCAGTCGGTCTGACCTTATTCGAACGACTACTACTCGCGACGTGTCTCATTACAACACGTTTATCGCATCGTTCGACTCTTACCATTCGGAGGAAATAATGTACTAACTAAACATTTCTGATGACGCGGCCGGTAAGTGGCCATCGATTAGCATTTTAAGGTATGATAATGCGTTTCGTGTGTTCCGAACACGCCTTGAGAGAACAACACTCGATCTTGGGCATCCGTCTCGCGCATGAAACTATGGAATGTATGATCTGCATATTTTTCTCTTCTTCTATTCCTTTTCATAAGTTTCAAGGTAATGTCAACGTTCGATTGGAAAACGTGTCATTGTTTATGACTAAGTGTTAGTTGAACGCTATCGCTACAAAATTTGTTTTTCCACGCAGCTATCTTCCCCCGCTTTTTACCCTCAAAGATTGCTCGCTTGCGAGACGAAGGTACGACTACATTCTTTCGCTCTGTACACAACGATGTCCCCTTTCGACGTCATTGAATTCCGCGATCAATGCACCGCGATTTCTTGGCACTCAACGTATGCCTTTGAAATGCAGGATGTCGAGAAAAACGCTTTAAGGATGTACGATACTTGCAAAGATTGAACGAAGAAAAATGTATTCGAACAACATAATATAATAGGAAAACCGATATTTTTAAAGATGGAAAGTGAATTTTCCATTTTGATAATATATTTGATGATAATAATAGGTGACTCGCTTGCATCTCCACTTGGACCAAACTAGTATAATTTGTTTCACACAAATTGGTTAATTATTTTGAATTTTGAATTATTTTGAATATTATTTAAGAATATTGAGATAACATGATCGATACTTTTTAGGAGGAATCTCACGAAATGTTCAACGTTTTTTTTGATCTTGTAACAGTGATATAAATCTTCGTGATGTTATTCCGCAAACAGACCTTCAAATACAAAAAAATAAGAACGTTCGTTTCTTGAGAAACGTGTTCCAACCGAACGCATTCGAAGCAGGCTAGACGGTAACGCACGGCATATACATAATATACACAGCAGAATATTTTCGTTTGCTTAAGACGTTGGAGCAATTTTTGCGCTAGGTGACGGGTCATTTAACGTGACGGACCAGCTAACTAATTGAGGTCATGGCAAGTAAATAACAGTGCACTGCTGATAATCCGTGAATATATATAATACATGCACGCAATAATGTACTGATTGACGGCTATCGGCAATTTTGTGAATTCAGCGTATAAACTCATTGGAAGTAACTAAACTACACTTTGCGTTCATTTTTTCCGAGCGAGCGCGAAATGTCGCAAATGGTACCGCATTCCGTTTTTCTTTCTTTTTTTTCTCCGAGTGTAGAATTTTCAATTTCGCAAGAAAAATAGTACATACGTCGTTAACTAATCTATTTATGTAAACACATATCGTAAACCTGATTCTAAAAAATGACATTCACAAACGGAATTTATTCGTCCTGCGTCGAAATATTGTCGAGCGTTTTATAATCCCTTCGTTCGTTATTAATATCCACACGAGTCTTTAGCAACACATGAATGCGCGAGCGTGAAACAATGTAAGAGGGAGCGCAGTAAAATATTCTTATACAGATTTATGAAATCCGGTCTGCGTTAGATTACTCTAACGGAGCTAGTTTCAAAATAAAGAAAATATCAAAATGGGAACAAAACAAAACGATTTCTGAGGGATATAATAAAGATAACGAAAAAAGGTAGGTCCGACCACGGGTCAAGTGTTCAAAAATCACCATTGATCGGTTTAAACGGTTCAAACGGTTAAACGGTTAAATCGGTTAATAAGGTTAATATAATAATAATAAAGTAATTGTATAATCTCACGGTTTAAATTTTCTACCAGACTGTCCGGAAATTAAAATTCTAATGAAAATCGTGAAATGTTCAAAAAAAGATTGCTTGAATGGACGTGACCATGAACGTACCGTACGTTTCGGTTGAAGGAAAAAGAGAAATTCTGGCTCTTATGAACAGAATTCTAAGAACCAGAAATTCTGTTTCCTTCGATGTTCATCGTCATGTTAATTCAACCAATTTGTTTTTCCGTGACGATAGTTGAGACTGATAATGTGTCGACAAAAAGAAAACTTGACGAAGAATTAGAAGACCGTGTCGTCAATTGATCCGAAATAATATTTCTGTAATTGGGAAAGTAAATTTCTGTAATTGGGTAGTTGGGAAAGACGATTTCACGACTGAATGTTGTGCCTCGACGTATTATCTAGAGCAATAGCGGACGTTTTGTTTAGGAGGGTTTACAACATTGAGTAATGACCGCGTTTATCAATGCGTGTTCATGCGTGCATGACGATTTCTATGTGTGTCCATATGTTCATTACATTCCCGGATAACTAGTCATGGCGAGGCAATAAGCAAGTTCACTACATTCGACTTTTACCTCTCTCGCGATCGTATCTAGAGCCAAGGCTAAAGCCGAAGAAGCAGGTTCGCTGAGAAATAAATAGCTAGCAGAAGGAGAGAGAGAAATAGAGAGACCGACCACCGGCGCGAAACATTTCTCTTTTAACAACACAAAAGCCTACCGCTCGTCATTTCTATCGAAGACCATCCCGTGTGTATTCCGCAATCGCGCGATTATTTATTCGATAAATGCGTCGGCATTCAGTCGACGAAACGGAAAAACTAGTCGTCGCGAAAAGTCCTCGAAGCGAGAGAACGCGAACTCGACCTTACGACACGGCTTGAAAGAACGCAATAAGAAAGCGATTCTCGATGTCCTTTGCGAACGGGCGATTGAAAGTACACGTTTAATTTGACAATAAATTATATTTCAACAAACTGACGTTCGTTATTTAGTTCAATAAGCTGTCATTCCACACACGATATTTGTATCTCCATTACATTCTGTTAACTTTGTTATTTTAACGTATAACTTACGTCGTTTTATTTTATGGTATCTTTCATATCTATTGTAGGAGTTCTTGTTCTTTCTTTTATATTCTAATATCCATTTGGGAACTTAGAGAAATTAGGAGGAAATAAAAGGAAGGAAAATAAGGGAAAGAATTAATTCAAGCAAATAATAAGCTGCTGCTACTGCTGTTATTAAGAACTATCGAATACATTTGTATATATGCATATTAATGGGTGTATCGAAGTACCACGGACTAATAAGTTGATTGAAAAATTAACGTAAATGTAAAAGTGATCGGTCTGCAGACGTTGTCATTAGTATCAGTGCTATCATCGATGACGAGATTTCCATTGATACGAGCGCGCGCATTCGCAAAAATAGTTTGATTATCGCGCGAGCGATAATTGAATAATGCCTTTCGCGCAATGCTGACACCCGTTGATTTATAGCCACGGGAGAGTCACGTTAACGCGGACGACAAACGAAGCTGTACATCTGGACGCACACGTCGATGGGTGGATCGCTATCAGGACTGTTATGAAAGTTGTGTGTCACGTGATATCACGTAACAGTTAGCATAACTTCTCCGAGTGGAGAGCCATGCCAGGGACCATAACTGACATAACGAAACTTTTCTAAATCCTGTTCTATTCGCACTCTCTCTCTCTCTCTCTCTCTCTCTCTCTCTCTCTCTCTCTCAGCGACAAATTAAAAGTCCGTCTCAACTAAAAATTGTCTGGTTAAGATCATTGCAGCGACATACAGAATATACGAGAGCCATCGAGTGTCATTTCCATCGCGGATTCCATCGACCCATTTGCATTCAATTTTTCCACGACATGAAAACGTCGAGATATCGGCGACTTTCGTGTAATTGGCCACTGATGAATTATTTATTTTATGCTAAAATCAATTTACTTAAATTGCTTTGATATTATAAATCATTTGGATATGATTGCACGATGAAATAATTATAGTCAGGAAAGCTATATTTACGGTAAATTCTGCTATAGTCATATAGCCAATAATAACTTTTATATGTACACACAAACACACACACACACACACACACACAGACACGCGTATACACACATATATATACATTCGCCCAGTCGTCCTAATAACTATTGTCGTTGCGCAGCAAGGACAACATGTGCAACATGCTGCTACATGTGTGCTTATCTCGCCGCGCCGCTTAAGCACTTAAGTGTTTAAGATCGATACGGTCACTAAATATTCGCAATTACAATTACGACGTTATCTTACGTTATGAAACAATTTCTGCTAAGCACACGTGCAGCAGCGCGTCATCCTCCTCGCCGCGTGACAACAATTGCTGGAAGGACTGAGCTGCGCTATAGCCCGAGAACGACTCAAAGACTCTGCTCTCCTACCATCTCGGCGCGCGTGCTCATTCATCTCACTTTTATAAATAATAACTTGATAGTTATCGCGAGTATTGCAAAACGATATCGGACTTTTTTTGTTCGCCTTAACCTGTTTTACTCTTCGACGAACTATAGTA